TAAATGTACACTTTCTGATTTTTAATTAAGAATTTTTCAATAGTAACATGATTGACCAAGAACATCTCGACATAAAAATTGAAAAATTGGAAATTCGAAGAACTTGGACAATTATTAAATGGAAATCTCCCTAAAGGCAACAATTTATTTCACAACACGGAATGACCCAGAACGTAATTTTTTATCGCAATGTTCTCAAAATCAATAAATAAATGGCACATTTATCTAATTGTAATTAATAAAAGGCGCTGAATTAATTTCTGCACCTATGTGATAGTTATTAGCGACAGCTACATGTTCAAATGTCAAACTCACCACCAGCATTCGTTCGTTCTTTTTATAACTTCCCTCATCCTTTATTCGTATCGTTTTTCTTGATTTTTCCTTGTGCTAAAAGAGCACAATAATATCTTAGCATTAAATAAAACAATCCATGTCCACATTTGGAATTTAATAAAAAAAACCACTTTTGGAATTTCACTTTTCAAAAAAAACATGTATGTAGTTTCACGAATATTCACAAACAAGTGCAGTGACTTACTTGCATTAATATTCGGACTAGATATTTAAACTCTTACAATTTTGTAAAAAGGATCGTATAACTGTAAATTTTGAAATATAAAGCCTCTACTTTCAAAATGCATCATCATTATTATTCTAAGATATCTTTATATTACGTAGTTGATAAAAAAGTGAAGATACTTTTCGTCTGGAAAATTCTATGAACTGTCATGGTATGCAAAAACAGTAGAAAACTTTCATTTTTGTTATAATGTGTAAAATGTCGAAATAATACAATAAACATAGAACGATGAACGAAATTATAAAACATCGCGCATTTATATTTCTCGTACATTTGAAAGAAGAAAATGAAGACTTTAATAAGAAAAGTTTTGTAAGAAAAGTTTGAGAAACAAATATGAATATCAGTTGGACAAAATTGTAGGATACTTGATCAATTTTCCATTTTTACGATTTCTGTTATTATTTACTTGTGATATTCATTTAGTTGAAAGAAAAATCATTCTATTGCGGATGGAATACGAAAGTACAAATCGTTGCAGCGTATATAATGTACTGAAAAACCAAAGGTCTCTAGAAAAATCAAAGAAACTCGCATTACAGGTGTAGTATGAAAGAGATAAATCTCAAGGGTTGAAAATAGTAAGAAGAGGAATAAAAACAGATCAGATGAAATATCTGATTTTCTACTAGAAAATTAGCACTAGCCGCTAGATTTACTGCAAAACGTACTGCTAAGATAATCTTTTAGGGAAACGAGAAACGACATTTCTCGCGCTAAGCTACCGCCGAATAGAGATTTAATGAAAGCTTAACTACATTTAGCCCTGCATACACGTACCTCAATTGCATAACGCGACACGACGTTTAAAATACTAATTCAATTAAGTCCGGCGCGAGAAGCTTAAAAAGTGAGAGAAAACGCGGGCACCGAAAAGGCACAGCCTCGCGATAACTAGGAGTTACAGTAACACTTAAGCTTGTGAACGCAAAGTTGTGTCACTCCGTGATATAATCCCGCAGCGGGGCAAAGTTGTGTGCTGCAGCGCGGAAACGTTAACGTTAGTATGAAGTTAGTTTGTTCAAGATTACGGAGTCAAAACTTGCACGGCGTTTACATTTCCTGTTGTAAATTCGTCTCGTTACGAGGACGAAATTGTCGAGAATTCAGCGCTCGGTCAGGCCTGGCGAGCGAGTTGTCACTCTAACTGAAAAATTCGCCTCCTCTTTCAGAGAATAAGGTCCTAAATTGACATATCGCCGCGATAACGGAGTTGAAACGAACCGTGAACATTATTTTCGCCTCGTGAAAACAGGGCTTTTAGATTAGCCGTAAAATGTAAAGAAATATTTCGTTAAAGTTTCGACCGAACAAAGGCCGAACAAAGGCAGGCCGTAGAATCTATCTCCATTTAACGCTGCCTGGGTGCTCCGTTAGTTCGATAATGATAGTTTATCGGGGATACAATGCAATAGGGTTTCACAAACTTTGTCACCGCTAACGCAACAAAGTTTACCCATAAGTAGTTACGTTACGTGCAATTATGACTCGGCACCAAATTCTCCTCGCGCAAAGTCTTGAAACTTGCACAAAATCACCTAAGTTTGCCATAATATCGTGCACCACGATGTAATGCCATAATGTCACAAAATTCTTGGATACGCGGTGCTAATTTCTTCGTGGCAATTCAACCAGGGGAACTTCGTAGGTGTATCATACATTTGCATCGATATTGTTGGCGTTTCTTCCTTTCAGCGAGCAAAGCTATCTATTTTGTGTCAACGTCTCACCAACGCGGGAAATAGATATCACTGGTGGCTGTTCTTTAAATAAGCCCTACGTCATGGAAGATTTCTCGAGCTTACGCTTCCATTTGGCCGACTTACAACTTTGTCTTGAAACTCTCCATATCCCGAAGACATTCGATGAAAATGAATCGCGCGTCATTTTTTTCTTTTTTTTTTTCTCCCTGGATAACTGCTCGATATATCGCTGTCTCGTTTTCCCCTTAGCCAGGAAATTTTCTCTTTTGGGAATGACGGCCAAATACATTGCTTCGTTTCGTACGGAAACGTAACGTCCGGTCCATAACCGGGCACCAAGTGTACTCTAGCAATCGGCCAAATCCTCAGGAATTCTCCACCGCAAGGCACTATCTCGATCATATCGTAAATTCGGATAAAGTTCCTAATAAAGGGTTATCCAGATTTAGCGTAATTTCCTCTGCTACTGTTTTCCATACCGACGTATAGATTTCAAGTAGAGTAAGTCCACGATAGTTCGACCATTTCTTTCGAAAAGACGTTGTTCCCAGTACTGTTCTCAGAATTTTGTTATTTTGGACGAATTTTGGTAACATCCGTGTTATTTAGGATATTATTTATGAATAAATCATATTTCGCGACTTTCATTCCTAATGAAAAACGTTGACAGCGCAATTGGCTGGTCTTATCCGCGTTTTGTAATGACGAATGAAGAAATTAATTGGCGCTGTCTTTCTTCTTTAATTTCTCACGTAAACCACAAATATTTTCGTATTTAGGCTTACACATTTAACTCGGTTATAATTTCTCGAAATAGTTTCCTCCGCATTTTTTAAGAAATTAGCATTTCATCTAAGTCACATTCTTCATAAATCGTAGACAGTGTTTGTTAATTTGTAATAACATTATCAATAATATATTTGTTTAATATAATCGAACTTTCCCGAATCAATGTGATCGAACTATACCAAAATCACGACCATGTTATTAACATAAAGTACAAATGAATACGTGCATATTATTGACATTTGTTTGGCAGTTTTATGCAGGTTATATATAGATTCCTCAGTATAGGAATAACTTAAATAAACTTACTTGTCTTTCAAATACTATTAACACTGCAGTGCAAACCAATTTTCAGATAACTTTCTGTCAAAACTTTGAAACACAATTTGCATATTAAACACGCTTTTACAACAATTGTCGACGCTAGAATTTTAAAGTATTAATATTGGCTAATACAACGTAGTATTAATGCCTCTACATACAATGGTTGAAGCGAACATCGCGCGTTCAAATACGCGAAAATATGCGACGAGCGTAATCGGGCCAGTTCCTCCTTACGTGTGTACAGATTTCTACGAAATTTCTTCAAATTCGTTGATCGTACGTGGGAGAACGGTTCCACAAATCTTTCTCTGCGGATCGTGAGTTCTGCAAAACTCTCGTCACGTTCTCGCGTTGATTGCAATAAGAAAATGAAAATGGAACGTACCGAGAGTCCGTTCGTATCGATCGGCGATACAACCAATACAGATTTCCTGTTAAAAATGCGAACCATTTAATTTCCCCGTATTAAAATGCAATGGTTCCGCGGTCGGCCTCTCATTGCGAAACTTTCGCGGCGTTCTTGCATTTACACGTATATCTGATCAACGTGGCTTGTGACCCGCGCCGCGATGTTTGAACTCCTCTGCGGATTCCTCGGAGGAAAGTTGAGCATCGAAATGTAGTGGCAAGGAATCTGTAATTTTAATCTCCGAGTCACCCTCCTTTGAAACATTCTTTGCGACGTCGTTTACGAGAATGCACGACTTTGATAGAATGCCGTGAACACAGCATCTGAGTACGATTGAAATTCACAACCGAGATATAATCGAGTTAAGCATCACAAAGCTTGTGCAAATATCGGCGCTTGCGATGACTCGCGAACCGTGCACGACAAATGCAGTTTATCGCGCGGTTCTCGCGGGTTCACGCGAAATTGTGGTGAACGAGATTCCGATCTTTTCTAGGAAACTGTTAACGAAATTCCGATCTCCTCTCGGACAAAGTTACCTGCCGAACACCCTGTATCGCAACAATTCGAAATTGAATAAGAGCGCCAGCCAACGTACGTAGGAGTTGGATCGAAGCTCGCCTCGAAAATTCTATTTTCTCGGTATCTCGGCATCTCGCTGGATTGAACGGCATAAGGCAGACTCTTCAACTGTACGGGAGCTTTCGAGTCCGTCCTAGTCACCCTCTCGAGTTGAATAATTGCTCGTTAAGGCTCACCGGTTCGTCTTCTCTTACCTCACCTTTCTTGCAAACGTATACACACACACAGAGACACACACACATGCATATGCGTCAGTCCAGCCAAAGTGTTTGCGATCCTTTTCCTCTTTTTCTTGCCTCTCGTTACATGGCGCCTTATAATTGCTTGCTTTCTATGCGAAGCACGTCTCTCTTTTTTTCCCAGACATGTCCGTCTCACTACGTCACGCCGTTGACGGCTTTCACAAATCATAATTTCGTATTTGTTTCACGATACGATGTTTGCAACGAAATAGAGGCGGCGGCTCATCGAAATATCGTATCGTCCAGCGCATCACACGATTCCGTCGAGAATTTTATCGCAGCCACGTTGCAACGTCGTTTCTTCTCGACTACTTTCTTTCTTTCCATTTTCTTTCTTTCTTTCTTTTTTTTTTTTTTTTTTGTTTTTTTAGTGCGACCCTGGAGTGGCAGTTGATAGATTCTTCCACGCTCTCTACTCGGCAAAGAAGAGCGACCTAATACCGTTGTTGCTGGGCACAGCTTGCTCCGAGGTCACGGAAACCTTAGCCAAAATCGTGCCCTACTGGAACGTGATACAAGTCTCCTTTGGGTCCACCGCACCTGCTCTCTCAGACACCACCGAATTCCCGCTCTTCTTACGAACTGTGGCGCCAGATTCTAGTCACAACTCCGCCCGGATAGCGCTCATCAAGCATTTTGGATGGGACACTGTTACCGCCCTCTCGCAAACTGGTGACATGTACTCATTGGTAAGCGTACGACTCGACGTAGCAAACCAACGGGGAAGTTTAATCAAAGACGCACCGCCGTTCCATTTTCTCGAGTACCTGCGCGCGCGTGTTTAATTCAATAGAATTCGCCCCCAGTGCCGCTCAAAATTCCCACGCGGCGAATCGCGCGTAAACTAACTATTAAACTTTAATCTCTTCGGCAGAACCGACGAGCAGTCTAATAAGAAAAGTCGAATTATACTTTATCTCGCGTCGTTCCTCGATTCGTCTTTGATCCGTTCGTCGCGAGGAGACGGGAGTGTTGCAGCTTCGCTTTCTTTTTTTCGTTTCAGGCTGTGAACGATCTAGTCACGGAACTGGAGCAAGCGAATATCACGTGCACCGCAACCATCACGTTCGCGGAGAACGATTACAAGGAACAGCTGCAAACTTTAAAAGTAAGGCGGGCATAGACTTAAACTTCATTGAAATTTTTTTTCCACCCTGTTTACTAGAGCGTCCCGACGACACGGTGTGTAGTACAGAGTCACGCCTAGTTGTTACGATTTCATCCCCTACGTTGGAAATCTGCGTTGGAAATCTTCCCACATTTATCTTTCTTCTTAGAGTATGAAGCACGTACGAGAACGGATTTCAAGCGTGTAATTCCACCGTGAACGATTAACGGTTGAGCTCCTGTAGCTCTTCCAAACGTAGTACGTTTATCGTTTTAATCCTTTATAGGCTGCTGGTAAGTATATTTACTACTTGTTGTATGTATACACACTAAACTACATACTGAAGTATGTATGCATACTTTATCACCATTCATGCTTGTAAGATTACTCAAATATGTCTCTTTTTTTTTATTAATGGAACTGAAATAAAACCTGTTATTATCTTTTATATATACAGTGTGTGGTATGTATTGTTATTGAAAATTATCGTAAGCATTACTTGTCAAATACGTAACCAAAGACTGTGACCAAATTTTTAAAAATAGATAAATTCTATATTATCAGAGAAAGTAGTTCTATATAATTATAACAAATAAGGAGCAGATTTTAGGATGTTACAATTTTCTTTTAATTGTCCCAAAGTATGCATTATAAAGAATTGTTTATTGTACACGGGGTGTGCCAAGTCGCGTCAATCGAAGAGAAAAATTCAATTAACTCTTACTGTTAGTATCATAGCATGGTACATTCACAAATTGAAAACCTAGGAGCGTTACCTAGGGGCATTTTCACAAACCGCAATTTTGTTTTCTCCTTTTTTTGTTTTTTTTTTTTAAGAATTCACCAAGCGTGAAAGTCTCATTTTTTGTACCTACAATTCAGAAATATACTATGTAAAAGTTTTTTTTTAACTTTCATTTTGTTGTTTCGTTTGTAGTCGTAATTCTTTCTCCTCTCATACATTGAGCCCTCTGTGTTGATGTCGCAGATATGAACATTTCATGTTGAACATTTATTATGTTAATATACGTGATACTAATGTAACATTGTGCAAAGTATTGCCTTAATGACATAATGCGTACTTGCATAGCGTTACATTTATATCTCTTTATTTACACAAAAACTCGCTACATTAAAAAGTTTTTGCCTGTTTATTGATGAAGCATAGATAAAAATGCTTTGATACAAAATTATGCCAAGTAAAACCTCATGGCATCAACTTCGCAAAAATTTTGGAAATCTATAGAAAGCATAATAACATATAAAATATTTAAAATAGATTTAGTTGATGAAAGAATCTTCTGTCGTTATGTTTATAAAAATTTAAAATTTTGCTGCTATGCAGCAACTAACATATAAATCTTTAAATAATTACGTCAACATGTACATAATAAAATTGTTAATTTAAAATTGGATGGATCCGCGATGGATATCATTGAACCTCATTGGAAATAATAATTTAAAGACAAGTTATTTAATTTTAGAATTTTTAATTTCATCATTAATCTTTACCATGAGGAATGTGTCAAATAAAATCAAATGGAGGTCAAAACATTACTGTAGTCACCTACAACTCAACGATATTATACCTGAGGGTTAATCAGTTCATAACTAATTGCTTACCGACGCCTCTTGTGATAAAAAGTTGAGATTAGGTCGAAAGGGAATGATTTCTTTTGTTGAAATGCAATTTTGTTCGAATTGCAGGAGTTGGACACGAGAATCATCATCGGGAGTTTTTCACCACGGTTAGCACCGTACGTTTTCTGCGAGGTAAGCCTTCAACGGAAGCCCTATTATAAACTCTGGTTGCAAGTTCGTTTCGACTGGCCACTGTAGCGGAATATGCTCCTGGCAATTGCATAATTTCCAAGCACGGAAAAATAACGGTGGCTGGAGTTGACTCACTTTCGCGATGAAAAATTTTAAATGCCAAACTGCGGAACAATTTCATCGTCCTGTTGCTTTCGCAAAGTAACAGGCAATAACAAAGTTCACTGCATCAATTATGCGCGATAGCTTCATGCAAATTTCACCTGGAATCCACTTGATACTTTAATCCTTTAATGGATATTACAAAAAAAAAAAAGAAGTCTGAAACTGAGGGATCGTGTAATTTTGTCAGTTCAGACTTTTACAGTCGAAATCGGTTCAAGAATGGAAGCATTATATTCTATTTGTTCAACGAAGATCATTTATCTGCCGACGACAATATTTGAATATCAATAGCAATTTTTAATGAATATATTATACGTATCGTGTAAAAGATTAAAAAATTTCATAAATACTGAGATGAGATATGAATATTTTTAATACAATTAGAATATTTCATACACGTATAATATATTTATCAAAAGTCACTATGAATCAACTTTCGTTTGCACGAGCGTATAAAAGTTCTTTCATAAGTGAACACTTTCGTAAGTCACGTTTTGTACAAAAAAAGTGTAACAATTTCACAACCGCGAAATAGCAGACTGTTGAAATACATTTGCAAACGAGATTGTGCTCATTGAAAAAATTTAATGTAGATGGTATAGGAGAGAAGAGAGGGAAAGGAGCGAAAGGAAGACGTTATACACAACTCAATTTCAGAATAGATAGATCTGGAATAGTTTCTACTTTCGAACACAAAGTTTATGGATGCATCAAGATTTGCCTCTTCTTTCTTTGTTGTCTATCCCCGGTTACGCAGTACCGCCGCCAACGATTCTCTTCAAAATATACGCGAAAATAAAACGTTTCGCGAGCGTTTGCTCGCACATCAGCGACAGTTCAATTACGAATTTTTGCAGACGCTCAATCGCCCATTTTCCCGGAGAAATTACGTTCTTCGACGTTACCGTCGTGACGTTAAACTACACGAGCAAGATTATTTTCGAGTTTCGAACGTCCATCGAAAGGTTGCACGATGCGCGCGAGCTTCGCGAACTCGACTACCATCCTGATCGATAAATTGAAATTTGTCCATCGCGGGGGTGACATTACGCCTGGATTTTCAGATGAAAATCAATGAAACGCGAACACGTGGTCATAGCCTATGTCCTCGCTAAGCGAATAATGAACATTGTGTCAAAGTAGGGCGCAATTTCTCTCTCTCTCTCTCTCTCTTCCTCTCTCTCGTTTTCTTTTCATTTTTCCCCTCTTTCATCGTTACGCATATACTAACACGCATTCTTCTTCGTCTATTATCATTTCGATGGCTTTTTGTTTCGAGAAGCTACCAGCTAGCAGCTCCTTCATCAGAGAACTGTTTAATTGCCTAATCGATTTTCATACCGATGGAAGTGCGTTTAGACCAAACGGACGAATACTTAAAGCAATTTGTGCTCGTTCAGTGTAAATGGTAATCGGGCGAATATTCATATGTTTGAACCGCGAGCACGAACGACTGCTCAACAGACCGAAAATTTTTACGTATGGTAAATTTGTTTAACATGAGAGCATGGAAATTGTAATTCTTATACGTCTTATTTTAATATCGTTGAATTATAAAAGTATTAAAAGTAAGATTCATATTCGTCGAATGTACTGAAAGACGCAGTTCCTTTGAAATAAAACAAGAATGAAAGTTACACAAATATACAGATAAAGAGAGAAAAGGTTCCTAATATGAAAGCAGTTCCGTTTGTTCCTGAAACTTATTCTTCCTGTCTCTATTTGTATATTGATCGTCTGTTTTCTAATTTTTGTGCACTTTGTTCTGCCCCCCCCCCTTTTTCGCTCAGTTTGCCTAAATCAAAATTTAATTGAACAAATTTTGATATTTAATACGAGATCCGTTCCATAATAGAAACTTTCAAGGTAACTCTTAAACAATAACTGTTAAATAGCTCTGAAATTAAATCATTACTTGATGATTAAATTTCATTGCACACACTGTGCAACAGTATTTAGAAAAATTATTGAGTGAAAAATACACTTACCAATTTGGAATTAATTTAATTAATCAATTTGATCGAACCACTCTGAAAACTTTCTGCAACATATTTCGCAAATATGCGTTTATACAAGACGGTTAATTAATCTCAACGTCGAAAAAATAATACAATTAATATACGGTTAGGATAAAATAATTAATATACGGTTAGTTGCGAAAGGAAACAGCATTACTACAATATTTAAGAGTTCTATATAATAGATAAGAGTGTTGTATTACATTAAAAATGGTCTCATATTAGACAATTTACAAAATGCACGTAATATGGTAGAATATATAAAATTTTCAAAAATAGAAAACTGTCAGTTTGTAACTATTGTTAAATTATGTTTATAAAAATATGTATGTCAATATTCTAATTATTACGTAAATATTCTAATTCAGAATTTGCCTTTAATATCGAGCAAGCATTCTTCGAGCATTCTAACATTCAGCAATAATTTACCATGCTCGTTTAGATTTCAATTTTATCGAAACAGAGGACGAACGAGCGTTCATTCGTTAGGTATAAACGCACCATAACATGAAAATTCGATCGCAGATCTTCGATGAATAATCGAAGTAGTTAATATCAATACATTCGGCATTGAGTGTACGAACCAACATGCGAACCGATCATTTTAATGCATCTTAATGCACGTACACACACATGTGGACACGCTATAAATATTTTGCTTATTTTAAACATTCATCTTCATAAATTCAGACTGCACAGAAATACAGTTGCTCGCGAAAGTATTCAAACATTTTATATATATATATATATAATATAATAAAACACTTTAACATTTCATCAACACCATAATAAGTTAAAACAAAATCTAAAAATATACAGGGAGATTACGAGATGCGTGTTTAAAATATCTGAGAAAAGTTTCAAAATTGTTCATTTATTTAGTTATTTATTGTATCAATCGAACTATTGACGATTAAAGTACAAAATTTTCATCAAAGAAAAGAAATAAAGATACTTTATAATACAATCAAATACGTTTAAAATCATTTAAAATATAGTGTTTTATATCTAGAAAATGCCTAAAAAAAATTATAAATTGGTAATTTTGACCACTTTGATAGTTCTAGTATCAATATTCAATTAACTTATAATCTTAAGATGACTATTCACGTTGTAATCTGTTACGAAATACAATATATTTTGTAACACTTATATTCATATTTACGTTGTTTTTAAATTTTACCAATATAATCATAACAATCGTGTCTCATCATAATATTAATGAAATTTATAGAATATCCTATAATATGTATATGAAAGTTTTTCTACGATAATTTTGAATACCTTCATAAGCAACTTTATATGTATAAGTATACATAATCTCATAAAAAGATATATCACATCTATTTCAATTTAAATTATTTTCTTGTTACAGAGAAATTCTATTTATTATATTATAATATATTTATTAAACTATAACAAAGAAATATTGGTACGTTTTTACGCAAAATTAAGAATCATTATTATTGATATTGTACATATTCATATTACAAACATGAATTGCACGTGGCCACAGTCAATTTAAACGATGCAATTTTTTAACCAATTCAATAATTTCTCCGAATCGGTGACAATCGAACAACGTTCACACGATTCTGTATTTTCACCGAAAATCCAACTCTCATACATATAATCATTACTCCCTTTATTTGTTTGTATAGTCTGCTATTTGCAGTCTAGCAAAATGGACATGAATACGTTTTTCACGTGAAATACATTACCATTGCCATGTAGAACACGCGAGGAAAATACAGAAATGTATGAAACTGCTTTTGCTTGTAATCGATCCGAAAAAATGACCGAAAAACTGATCCTTTGATCTGGCTGCAATATTTTTAAAAAGAAATGGAAAATTGCAAATATTTACGTATGTAATTAAATACGTATTACATACATAGCTCAATGCGATTAAAAAATGAAGCATATTAATTCGAACTAAGTGACGATAAACTTGATCACCAATTTCAAAATTAACCACGAAATGGAAAAAGTCTGATTGATTTCTTCGTGCCTCCACCATCGAAATAGCATGGACATCGGGTTTCACGCTTCTAATTTTCGCCTGTGTATCGCTTGTACGGTGTACAAACCGTACTGCAATGACACGCCGAAATGAAATTGCGTTGCTTGCATGTAGGACATGCTGTCCGTCCAATTACTATCTATCGCTAGGGCACCAACGAATCGACGTCCTCCACTCGTTCACTGCCTTTTAAATCGCATCCTCCAAATTTCTCCAAAATATCTGTCTCGAGGCTTCTCATCGAACTGCACATGTACATTCGCTTTGCAACTAACGAGATATCTCGCGACACAATATCAATACTATAGACGAATTACTTCACGATGCAATCTACTTCAGTTGTTTGCTTATTAGGGCGAAGATTCAAATTGAAAGAAAAATTGATTCACGAAACGTTATAGTGAACATTAAATGAAAGATACACTGTTTTTAGAAACAATTCCGTTTAATTTTCTTGTACTCACGTGACGTGATTCAAAGCATGAAGTATAGATGTTTCGAAAATGTAAATTGCAACTCTCTAGTGGATTACATATAGTTCATTTTCGACAGGTCGCGGAAAGTTATAAGAGCAGTTCCCATACTTATTGACAATTCTTTATTTATAGAAACTATACGTATATAAATAATGCAAATATGTTGACGTATATATAAGCTTGAAATAGTAAAGCAATATTTTTTAATTAGTGCCTTTAGCTTTAATTATACGGAATGTTGCTTTTGGAGATATAAAAAAATTATATTAACGAAAGTTATTCAGTACAAAATATGATAATAGTGATCTTTTGAAAGGCGATTTTGGAGACTTCAAGTTCATCTCCGCTTTTTTTTTAAATGGAATGATACACTTTTTTATACATTGCAACATTTTCTAAAAAAAAAAAGTATTAACCTATGCGAAAAGTTATTAATTTAGAAAATGTTTTAATCTGAACTCTGTAAAATTTATCGTATGTACAAGTTGCAAAAGATTATTGTCTTCGGAAAAACGAAAAACAAACTTTTCGGAACCATTATTCTAATACATAATGTTACATCACAGTTTTTGCAAAAATAATTCCTAGTTTCGTTATTTGTTCTTCGTACAAATTTCAACTTGCTGTATTTTTCTTACTTATTCTTTTTATACAGCACACATCTGGTCAGATGACTTTTGGACAAGAAAAATAATATCATTCCTGTCTTTCATTTATTATGACGTTTCACGCGTTGATTTTTCTTCCAATTAAATCTTTCGTCCTAATAAACAAACAGTCGGGATATCTTGTCTGTGGCACCGCAACACAAACGTGGAATAACTCGCCCGTGATATCGTATAAACGATATCGTGTCGCGAGATATCTCGTCAGTAGTTGAAAAGCAGCATATGTATGTATATGCGTATACATATGTAAATACAAAGTGTTCTATTTTAATCTTTACACGCGACTGTTCCCCAAACTTTTCGTTATTTTAAAAACCATTTCTAGCGAAATTTATTTTCGTCGAGGAGAGCATCCATTTTTTTTCATGCTGCAATTAAATTTTCTCTATGCAAATTTTCTAGAGATTTCAAAATGATCTTGGTTTTTTAAACAGAATCATACGTTTTGAATATGTTTTGAATAGAGATACAGTCTATTTCTTGATGAAATCGCTGATCTAAATATTAAGTATTATAAAGAATCGTTAACCTACATATTACGTATTACAAATACAATCGTTTGTTTCTTATCTCCAACGTTCAAAAGTTCCATCAAATTTCTACCTCTGTCTCAAAATTCCACCCTCTCAAAATATACCACCAATTTGTTTGCAGACATTTCTAATTTAGCGAAATATTTATAAAAAGGGACCATTCTTCGATAATTTCTTAATACGTTGTTAAAGTTATTCCAACTCATATAACAATTCTTACATTATACAGTTGTAAAAACTATCAAATCATAATTCCATTCTAGACTTTTCCACTCGTTATCCTGCTATCTATATTACTCACTGTTGCAATAAATCATTGAAAAACATCGTAAGACAGAAACAAGGAATAAAATATACTCGATAGAAAGTAAGGCTCCTTTCTTTCCCTATAATGAATTAAAATCTTCAAACAAGATTTACTTGATTTCAAATCAGTGTGAAGGTTCTTCACTTTTCTGCATAACCTGGCCCGTAAGTTGGTTCTTCCCGCTAAACAAAAGACTGCAACATTTTCTTTGTTTTCAAGCGTCAAAAGCAGCATAGAAGTAACCACGAGTGAAAGCGTAAATTTTTGATTTACGCTCGCTTTCGTTCCCTCCCCTTTTGTTTCGTATACACGGCGGAATGCATCGTTAAGAGTTTATTAGAGAGAGATAAAAAAGTTGAAATTTACCGTGCTGGCGAGCAGCCGTGCCGCTCCGTCTTGTGAAAGCGATTTTTCATCGGGAGCCCCGGCTCTGACATCTTGACCGACTCTATTATTGCCAGTCAGAATGCAACTACGGGCCGGTAGGCAATAATGCGTACGTAAACGTTCGCGTACGAGCTGCTAGATCGACGATATCCATATCTTTTCCCATTCAAACGATTGCGTAGCTCGTTACTCTCCCGATGTTTAATATTCGCGGGTCGAGATCGGCCGTTTATTACGTCGATATTCAGAGGCAAATGTTTCGCCCTTTCTTCGCGCGCGCGCAACGAAACAAGGAACGCGGAAACATTTCTGCTATAAATCAACCGAAAAATACAGATAACGCCTACGCGGAAGCTAATAGCCTCGAATGGTATCTCTTATAAATAATAACGGGTTCGTCTTTTGTTTTGGCACGTCCGAACAGAATATCTCTAAACCGTGGTTCGCCAGTGGACCAATTTGTTAAAATTATGGGCCAATTTTATTAAAAGAGTTTGTACGAATTCTTCCTCCAATTTTTCGTAAAACAGCTGAAAATAATTTGAGATCCTTTTCTTCAGAGGAGTAGACTACTCTGAATTGTTCAAAGACAGATAAAATTTTGCGAATTCTTTTCATTGGTAATTACAAAATTACAAACAATTATTTTTGCTTTCCTCGTTAAAAAAAAAAAAATCGTTCAAAGCAAAGAAATTATACAACTTTATATAATGAATAAATTTTTGCCTTACGTTTGATTAAATTTCACTTGTTTCGTCAAAGAAACGTTTATCTTTCTCAAAAATTGTTCAATAAAGAATTTCCTCCGTCAAGTACAAACAATGTTATTTTTCCCAGAACGTACCAGTCTCTTACGATTGATAACAAGCTAAACTAGCGTCCCAACGCTAAAATCGAAACCGTTGCCATTTTTCGTAGTAAAAAAATTGAGATAAATGAGACGCGCTACTTTTCTCATTGTTTCGTATTAACAAGTAACAGTCGGTATCTCTCTATTGAGACTACTGTTCTAGTACATTAGCCGTTCCGAGCGGGAAGAAACGCCGAGGCCTGATTTACGTGTTCGACGTTACGAAACCCAGTTTCACCGGGGATGAACCGTATTCCAGGCACATTTCTCATTTTCAGCGCGTGCCTCTGAGTGACAACAGTTGCGAATTCAGAGGACAGGCTGCATCTTCGAACGGACTAGGGCGCGCCATTCAAACGTGACCCAGTTTCTCTTCTTCTTTTTTTTTTTTTTTTTTTTTTTAACTCGGTGTCCGCGCGAAGCGCTGAAAGACAATGAAATGTAACTACGACTGACGACGATTTCCCGATAACCGGCCGGCGATCCCTTTTCCCGGACTTAAAAGCTTTAGAAGAGTCGAGCCGCGCCGGGAAGGATAGAAACGTTGCATATTTAATGATCTTCTTCGGTTCGGCGCGATGGCTTCTCTCGGTCGCGTGCCCGATGGCTCGATAAGGGATTTCGAGCTGCTCGAAAGCGGAAGAGAACCTGATTATGGAGAGCTGCGTTAAGAGTTTTTACCAGCAGCGTGTAAAAACGTCTACAACGTCAAACGGACGATACATCATTCGTCATCGGTGACGAATTACTGTGACGATGGCAGTTCCTCGTTATCCAAACTGACAAATGACCTTGCTAAAATACGTTCTGTTATCGGTCGAAATATATACAGGATGGATAGGAAATAGTACGGCCAAAATGAAAAACTAAACTGAAATTTTGGTATCAAACTTTCTCGTTTTCGAGAAAATCAAATTTGAGAATCCGTATGATTGAGTGTGCAATTTCGTTGTCGTACCATTTTGTTTCTCGTTGTTTATGACTGTTAAAAATGATATAATTAAAAACAAATATTTTATTTTCATTGTGTTGCAACTCTTTTCTACATTCGGTTTCTCATTTGGGTTTCGTTTCATCGATTCGTTTTTAAAATACATAAAAATCCGCAATTTATTTATAACTTCTCAAGCTCGATTTTCTTCAGAAATGAGAATAAAAAGATTTTATATCAAACTCTACGCGCGTGGTATCACCACCAATGTGGTTGCACTGCTACTTAGTCCGTACACGTGTAATATATTGACAAAAATATGTTGCGCGTTAGAGGAAATAAATCGGTAATGCGAGCATAAATGGACGAAAGTAGGATAGAAGTTAGCGGAAGAAAGGTGGGAGAACAAGCGATGCGAGAAATGGGATATATTTTATAAAGATCCATCTCGGAGGATCCGAGAATAACTCCCATCCCCGAGTCATTTCTCATTACTCCGGTCGTCCAGTTGTCCGATAAGATCCTAGTAAATATTTCTGGTATGCCAATACGTCAATAGTTTGACCTTCCACATACGAACTGCACATTCCTGGGGATTTCTTTCCTTCCTTTCTTTCTTCCTTTTTTTTTTCTTTTTTACAGTAGCAACGACCGCGACGCCATTAACTTCCTTTTCATTGACGAGTGCACTCGACGATCGATCCTCGAAGACAGATGTACCGCGACGAGCCGAGAATGTGGCGTGCAACGCCGCGTTAATTTCGCGGTGCCCGCGACGCGAGAGAGAGAATTTTTTTGTAGAACTGTAAAACGTCTCGTTTCGTAACGAGGAGCCGTCGCCCGCTCCTTGCCAGAAATAAAAGACTTACCCGAGTAACCCATATATTCGAGGGAACATAAAAGCGCGAAGCTTCCAGTAAGAGCCAGTTCTAAAGCTCGCCCCCTTATCTGGCTCGCTGAACCGGGCGAGACAGACGGACGTTTTCACTAAATATCTGCTAACTGTTATTCTTTTTTTCTTATTTTTCTTTTTTCCTTTTTTTTTTCATTTCTTTCGCCAGGCTTGGAAACTGGGGATGCACGGAGGAGATTACGCGTGGATTCTGCCAGGTGACACGATCGACCCGCCGAGGACCGAGGACGAGAAGTGGCATTCAGGACCGGAGGAATGTACGCCCTCGCAGTTGTCCCAGGCACAGAACGGCTTGATCATCGTTAAGAGTCTCGATTCTGCCTTAGAAAACGAGATAAGTTCGTCGGGTCTGGTGAGTGTGTTTCTCCAGTTGTCGAGCTCGTTCGCAACGCGAAAGTTTCGTCTTGAATCGGGGAAACGTCGAACTTTCCCCCACGAAAATTCTCTTCGACCGACACGCACATCCCTTCACACGGTAGTAAACCCTCGGCGTTTCTTGATTTGTTCGTACCTGCGGCGATCACACGAATCGCCGCTGAGCCAAAGTTTCATCCATTAAATGGGTCCTGGTCGGTACTCGACTGAAAACGTGCGGTCTTGGCATGTTCAGACTCGTTATAATAGCTACATAGCACGCGCGCACACACACATACACGTGCAGATACTTGTTTTCACTTCCATTAGCGAGTAATATCGGTGTGGTAGAAAGAGTGCGATAATGACCAGCAGCTTCCTCGCATCGAACTTTCCACGTTCGAGCAATCGAGCTAATGACGAACTCACATGTTGCTAATTACATTTCCACGAGGGGAGAACCCGGTCCCGATGAGACTCGAACGGAACGTGCTCCGATATTGGCTACGCTTCTTCGACCTGGCCAACTTTCCCGTCGTCGCAACCGCGCGAGTTCAAACCGTATCCAACCCCTCGCGGTGGTTCGCGATTGTTACGAAACGGTTTGCCCTTTACTTTCTCAAACAGCGTCATGAATAATTCCGAGCGTGTTCAGACACACTACACGCTGAATATTTACCCGCGCATGTGGAAAAATAGAAATTCGCCGCCTGGAGAGCTTCCGCTTTATCGGAATCGGAGACGAAGACACACGGCGACATATGTGTGTGTGTGTGTGTGTGTGTGTGTCCGATTTGAATACTTTAAGAAACGAAACAGCTCGTGGGAGAAGAACCAAACTTTCTGCCGTGCACAAGACAAGCCTCGCTACAACCGCTTGGATTTTTCCTGCGGAGAGCTAGCCTCTCTGTTGAATTGAAATGCGCCCGTCAACACACGCACGGCGAGAAACGAAGTTTTCGATCAAAAATGAGAGAGAAACGTGGGAGACGGAGTTTCCACAAAATTGTCGAAATATCCGTGATCGTTTAATAACGAGAAACTAGATTAGTGGTATGTTTGCTTGTGATATAGACACTCTCGGCCTGCACGTAGCACTACATTAACGTAACGTCAGACATGTTTGAACGTAAACGATATCCAAAGTTGAGTGTCGTATAAATTTCTGCAACGGAGATTACATTTCCTGGTAATCCAAAAACTTGCCTGGTCGCCGTGGAGGATAAAACGGGATAATATGCGCGAAAAAGGAAATTGTATTTTTGATCTCGAATTTTCAAGGTCAAGATCGATTTAGAGGGAAGTTTTTTGCATTGATCTGCTTCAAACAGAGGATGTGAAATTACGTTCTAATTTTGTGACACCCTGTCTACAGTAAGAGATTATGCCTAGTATTGCAACAAGTTTTCCTTAATTCTTTTAAGCCAAGTAATTTTAATATTCACTGTTGCTAAAGTGGAATTAGCTCTTTGCTGAAAGTTTTACTGTTTACTGTTAGGAACGCTTTTAACTATGGATTTGTTTTATTTTTCACCCTTGTTTTCTTTGTCCCTCTGGAATAAGGTTTAACAAAATGAAATTGCAATAACTATAACATAATGGAATGTTCTTCTTACGTTCCAGTAAATTTGTTTATTTTAGGATAAATGTTTTAATTTTATTATGGTAAATAAAACTAATTATTATATTTGATAATTCAAAAATTTTTACCTTCATCATTCCAGTCTGTGATATGTATGACGTATGGTTTGTAGTAAGAAACGCTATATTTTTAATTCACGTATAATTCACCGTAGATAAATAATTGGATATATAGCGTAATTCCATTAAAAGCTTGATGTTTTGATTTCCTTTTCGACAGCTACGTTTGGCAAACGTTCTTCTACTGTTCTACAATTTTAAATTCATATTCATTTAATAATGAATAGCTAATGTTACGTAAAATTTATATAAATTTTTTTAACGTATTTAAAAATACATATTTCAATCGTTTCAACAATAAACATACAGAGTTCCAATCTTTCGTACGATAAATTTTACAAAATTCAAGTTAAAATAACACCTAAACTAATAATTTTGAAACATACATGAATCAATACCAAGAACATTTTTTTACCAAGAATATCGAAATTATCGAGAGATACATTAAGAACTAAAAAATTTGTACAATGTAATATATAATATAATATAATAATATAACATAATTCTATTTAAAAAACGTATAATAATATAACGTAATTTTATTTATATATAACTAGTCACGAAAAATAACATCAAAATATATCTTTCTGCTATTATTCAAACTATATCTTTCTACTATTATTCAACCATTATCTGAAATACTTTTTCTTTATAAAGTATAATGAATCAACATATCAAAATCAAGTGAAACACTCTGTACATGATTACGAAACCTACTACTATTAAAATAACTTCTGAGAAGTTGCAGAGGAGTCAATACGATACATAAATGTCATCCCTCAAGGGCTAAACAGCGGTAGCGAGTGTGTTAATATCGAAACAGTTTTCAGCGTATCGAATAAACTCTATCTACTTGTTAATACCAACCACTTGCGCGAAGGACGTAGTTTTCATCTACACTATCGAATAAAGGGTAATTGATTTTTCGTTTGGACAATCGAATCGTTTAAAAGTGCTCTCGTTGTTACAAAAGAAAAAAAAAAAAAAAAGAAGGAAAAACTGCTGTTCGTTATCTCGGCCATAACGTCCTCTTGCTGCAATTTTCCTTCTACGACGCACAGCACGACGCCACGAACGCAAACGAAGATTTATCTTGTTTTCTCAAAATAAGCTAACGAAACTTAAATCTTGTTTGCCGAGAGTGTCACCATGAATTACCGAGATTGCAATTTTTCTTTTTATTTTTAATCTTCGTTGCCATATCAAACCAGGATCACTGAAGACAAAAAAGACCAAGCCCATATTTCCAACGGATTACACGAGCTTCGTCCTAACAATTGTTGCGCCCGACAAAAATCAAGAAGGAGGGCACCTCGTTTTTAAAAATAAACCTGCGTCGTTAACTCAGTGTCGTTGCTCGATTAACCTTGATATTTTCTGCGCAGACGAGCAACCAATTCACGAAGGAATTGGCAAGAAGAGGCGTGACGGACAACAGTTTCGCAAGACAGACCTACGATGCCGTCTGGGCGATGGCGCTTGCTTTGGAAAATACCGAAAGCATCTTGAACAAAGACAACATTAGCATAGACCAATATACGCATACGAGAAAGGACATTGCACTGAGACTGTTGGAACAGTTGAAACTTTTACGTTTCGTTGGAGTTTCGGTGAGTAGTGTTGCTCGATCGAGAAGAAACAAACATGCTCCTCGCTTGTTCCTTAAGTGTTTAAACATTTAACCTATCCCGAGCAGTGAGATTCGGGCAGAACATCGTGTATAGTTTATCACATGACTGTTACTTCTAGAGAACCTTAAATCTAGCTAACAGCTCGGACTTCCCTTCTTTTTTTTTTTTAAATTTGTAATGAACGTGAGTTTGGTGTTGTATGACATAACGTAATAGTGTAATATTCAAACGTATCATATTGACACACCCATCTCTATTTACAGTCACAGTTATGATACAATATCGTTCTAGCTTGAATTGATCATGCTCGATCAGCGTAATATCTTTTTATTCAAAGCGGCATCAAATTCATGGAGTAAGAAGCTCAAAGTTCCATTGAAAAAAAAAAAAAAAACAAGTGCAATTACACCAAAAGATCCCATTACACGATGATAGAGTAACGATACTTCCTTGAACGATACGAAAATATTTCTCCACAATTGTTTCCTATCTTCGCTAGAAACAGAGTTACAGGTACCGTCCAATTATTAGATTCACTCAACGCTATTTTCCTGTATTACAGTCTACACAATTCTGCGCTTGGATAATTTCTTGCAAACGCGTAAAAATTCGCAGTTTCATTGTTAATCGACCCTGTTAGTTGAAGGGCGAAAAATTCCTGGAAAATCGCTGATTGCTAGAAATCTCAAACCGATCGAAATTATTCGTTTCCAGGGGCCGGTATCATTCGATGGAGCCGATCGAGTGGGTATCACGGCGTTCTCTCAGAAGGACGGTGAGTAAACTTTCTATCACGATTTATGGGCGATTACATCGAACGGTAATGGCGCACGAATGAAGACGGATGCGTGATACAGTAAATGAGGAAACCAGGCTGGAAATCGCCGACAATTACGCGTTCCCAACGGCTCAGTGTACTACATGCGTTCAGTTAACTGACACGTTTAAACGGGAAGAGCCCGTTTATGGCATGCAACATTCCCATTGTTGAATGTCCAGTCAATGATATGATTTTCAGTCGCGATGCATTCCCCCGTTAAACGCGATGCGTATGTTCGTCCGAATTACACACACCGAGATGTTCCATTCTCTGCTCTGCTTCTGTTTGCGTTGATTTCTTATTGGCACACTGACGCGAAACTTACACGTTTGCTCATAGAACGGGGAGCATTAGTAACTATTTGCTTTGAGGCACTCGTCATCGATTTCTGATGATCTTGAAATATAGTGTGAAACGACGAAAATGACGTTGACAACTTGGAAGACGAACAGAACGAATGCAACGTATTGGCAGTGTTTCGTCGTTACTTCTAATTACTCTCTATTATTGTAGCATTTATGTATATACTATATATTTGTTATAAAAATTTAGTATCATGACATTATGAATTTCATAAAAAAACGCTGCACTGAAAAATATAGATGCAGTCACCGTAAATAATGACTAATTTTATAAATAATGACTGACGCTTTAAATTCTGCTAGTGCTCATTCGCGTGTTTCTACTCTGTTTGCAATTAATTACCGTCCACGCGATTAATTGCCTACTAAACGGAAGAAGAAGAAGTTCGCATTGTTGTTTTCTCTTTGCCATGGCAACGAAGATTTGGAGCAGTCGATAGTTCTTCGCGTTCGTTGCAAAACCTTCGTACGTTATAAAGCATTGTGATTCTATTCATAAAAATTCTTCGTTGTAGTGTTTGTAGTCCGTTGTGACATATTCCACTGCATAGAACAATGAAATTTAAGTGAATCGGATAACTCGCAAGTTATAATGCATTGTTTTACACAGTATAAATTTGAATTAGATGAATTAAAAGTCATTGAAAAGATTAATTTTCGTCAGCAATTACGGGTAATCTAAAAATACGATTGGAATTATCCTAACTTTATAGTAGCATAAATCTAAAGTCAAAAGAGAAAATATTGGGAATTCGTTTAATTATCACGTTACAATAAAAGTGCAATGGGAGGATATTTTTCATTTGATAGTGTCATCCAGTTATAACATTTATATGTTATATTTAAAATGTTATAATTAAAACTTCTCGTTTTAATCATTCCAAGATATTTGTAGGAACGAAAGCGCGGGTCATTTGATAATCATCGTGTGACGGTCAATGCGTGAAAAAGAAAAGAGAAAAAAAAACGTCCATTCAATACAGGAATCTGTCTATTACACTTGTGGAGAATTTACACGCGCGATCGCGTTTGCCCGCGTTTTGTTCAAAATACAAAGCTGAAGAATTGTTTCAAACGGATTGTGCACGCTCGTGTGTTTTCCCCGGGCGCAGTGTGAAATAAATTTCAAACGATATGACAAGCACGCGACATGACAGAAAGTGCCATGCAAATATACCGTACGCTCATTTGTAGTATACTCGCTTCGACGCTCCAATTTAGCATTTTTTTTGTTTTTTTTTGTTTTTTTTCATAACAGAAGTAAGAACGAGGGAGGAGAGGGAACGAGAAAATTCCGTTTAGAATCGGAGGCACGCGATCCGCGAGGTAGATTGCTCGGTCAGACGGATTTACGTCAGTTGTACGACGGATCTTGATTCGAGTTTCTTTCGCTTTCTATAACGTAACGAAACGATTACCAGCGGTAACGGCCGCGGTAAGTTGACGTTCGAGTGAGAAACTCAGCTGGCATTACTGTTTAAACACGGAACAATTAACCGACTCTGCACTTAGCTGGTGCACACACCGTGTATATGTTTACGATACGATAGAGTGTAATTAACGCTGCGCCAAGAAACATTGCAGATCGTTCGATAAATCAAGGTACAGTTATTTACAAAAGTATTCACACCCCACAACATTATATATATGTAAAGACATCTTGAAACTTCATTAACGCTGTAAAATGAAAGCCAGCTACGTTGATTATATTCGTAAGGTTATATTCGAAACAAATATGAAAAAATACTTAGAAATTGCAAGATATTTAATAGACATATAGATATGTATTTTGTAGATAAAAGTATTTAAAGACAGTTATGTCAATAAGTCATATATTAATTTGTTTTACTAGACATATGTTTACGATAAATACATAGGAGACTTACTTTATTTGGATACGAGTCGAAGTTGCTATTAATTCTACTGTGAAAAAAGTCAGCCATTGAGAACTATTATATTGGAGACATTGAAAAGCACCTAAATAATTTTTGGAAACAGAGAAATATCATGAGATTCAAAGGTTTTTGTTAGCAAGTCAATTGATAGTAACAGAAGCGTATTTTAATTAACGTAACATTCAGATTAGATAAGTAAGCTAGATCTACGTTGAAACTAAATTGCGTTAGACTTCGCGCTATTCTACATTGTCCTCCACTTTGCCTAGGCTGTTCCACACTGTTCTTCCCACGACGCAACAACCAAGTTCACACTTTATGCTGATTTTCCCTCGGTACTCATTCTCTCCCTCGTATCTTTAAAACTATGAGTAAGATAGTGAAACTAAGATACACAGTTACACGTAGTATTGTTCTACCGTGCCTCGAGTGAGTTGGTCATAAACTACCCTTAGGCTACACTGGTTTATTCGACTCTCGTCTAATTGAAAGCAAGGAGTAATAATTAATTGGATTTCATTCAAAATAACAAAGAATTATTAATTCATCATTATTGAGCCTCTCTTAATTTGCTAATAAATCTCCAAAATAGTAAAAAATCATTTAAATACAATAACAGATCCTATAGTTTTGTGATCTTTATTTTGCAAAAGTTACCAACTCATAGAGCAACTCTTGTTGCTGCAGTTGTTAAAAACTACCAAGGTATAGTTCCATTCTGGACTTATCTATTCACTATAGAGCTAGTATTTTATTATAGTCTGCACTGTGCTATACTACTCACCATTAAAATTGTAAAATAAGAAATAAAATATACCCAATAGAAATTTTAATGCATTGCTGGTATACTTACACACTTATTGTGATAATTTATATCATAGATATAGATAATATATTATTTTATTGATCGTTCTTATCATTTTTACTCACGTACACGCACAAAATGTGGTAATATATCCTCACCAAAAACCTACCACATTGTGTAGGCATTGAAATTCAGAAAGCCCTAGCAGGCACGTTAATCAAAAATCGTGACAATGATTTTTGGAAAAATCATCGTACTGAAATTCAAAGGAGATGAATTTTCTTGCGATAATTGTCCCACATAGCACTGTCCTAGAAAGAGTTTAATTAAAACTCCCCAGACTAGATTTATTCAATTCCAGATCATTGAGGGGGTCGGTAGTTTCTCCGCACGTAACTTGACCCAATTGCAAATCCGTATCGGCCTGCGAGGGCCTGCGAGTAGAAAAATTTGAGAAGTTCCAGCGTGGAAACTGAGGTTGAAAGAGTCGTAAGGACGTCTCGATGTCAGGCGCGCAGGACTTTCCGTCCAACCGACACAGCGAGACCACTCTAATGCACGAAACAAGATCGGCGTGAGCTTCGTGCAAACAAGAGCAAAGATGTTTGCCATTCTGGCCGGCGGATGTCGGTAAGAAGCCGATGAATAATTAATGAGAGAGAAACTCTCAGGAATCGGTAGCGGAGAGGGAGCATGCCTGAGAATGAAGAAAAACCGGAGATAAGAAAATCAGAGGAGCCGGAATGTATTGCTTCGAATTCGTATTAATCGCCATTCCGACTAATCCGCGGCCCCAAACGCGCCAAACTTGACCAGCGAGTATATATCGTGTTAAACTTTTTCCCGGCAAATGTCGGCCGTGCAAATTGTCGGAAGTCGGCCTGTCTGTGCGCGAGTTTCAAGGATCACGAGCCGCGAATTCTTCCGAGCAACGACGCGACGCAGGCGCATCGTTTGAGTGGCCTCGAAACGCCATCCTCGCAAACGGACGTGTGCAGGTCTTTGTGAAATTAAGGCGTCTTTTTCGAGCCGTATGACCTCGATGCGCCGTTCGTGTTAAATTCTGCCATCCAGGATCATTTCTTTCGTTTCAATTTTATTAATCCGCTTGATCGACCTAAATTCGTCTAACGGGCCACGTTTAATCGAATTTTCGTCGAAGTTGTCGAAAAAGTGCCATGCGCGTTAACTGGTTGCTTTCGGCAATAATGTTTCTTCGTTCTTTTCTTTTTTTCTTGTCTTTCGTAAACTCTTTCAGTTCTCTGATTTGTTACGATCTTTCTTACGGACATCAACTTTGTAACACGTGATATTCGACAAGAATTTTAAGTGCCAAGAAAAAAAAGATGCCCGCCTTTCGGCAAGACGTTGAGAAGAACGAAAGTTACGAAGTTTCTCTCACGTGAGAGTGCAATACTTGAAAGCTTCTACCAGGATCGGCCGACTTACCAAACGCAACTTGCAATTCGCACAGCCGAACGATCGACGTACGACGTACTAACGGCTAGTTGTTTCGCTCGTTAACCTTGCCTGAGCTTCGAAGAAGAAGCTCCTTTTTCTGAACGGCTTTTCCAAGCATCGATTTCTGATAAAGTCAATGAACCGGCACGAATTTCCGCCGGCGATAGACAGCGGTGTTCACAAAGAACCTTCGGTGGTTCGGACAAATTGGATACCATCAACTGTTTCCTTCTTCACTTCCACTGGTCTCTGTTACCACTGTACTGTATTCTGTATATCTTTTTTTTTTTTTTATTCCAGTTTACCTCTTCCACACTCTTTCATCCATCCAACCGGTCGACAGTCGAGATCCTACGGCTGTAATCCATCAAATCCTGTAGCCGATATAGCTGCATTGGCGCAGGCCGCATATTTAACTTTCAAGCATAATCACGGCGACAGGGAAAAGGGAAGAGAAAAAGATCGACCGTCTGTTATTTCTTTCCCCCGTTTCACGCACCGAAGTGGCCAAAGGCGATTTTTTTATTCTTTTCTTCTATCTTTACACGGTGATCGAGACTAGATTCATCTTTCTTGTTCACAGGGGGAAGAGATACGATAGCTGCGAACGATAGATGGAACATTCTATTTCACTTTAGTCGCGTGATATATTGCTAAAACTACCGCAATTAACCGTTCATAACCAGGATTTCGTCGACACATAGGGAAACATTATTGATTAACTCTCTATAATTTATAATATCGTGTAACTTGGCAATTACATGTACAAGGCGTATCCAGTAACCGGATCGGGCTACAACTCAGTTGATGCTCAAGACAGGAAAAAATTGTAGAAGAAAGTTTTGCATGATCTAACGAGCTTTATCATCGTGATGCGACTTTTTGCAGAAGTTGCGAAGGAGTGGCAAAGTGCAATTGCACTCGTCTCTTTTAAATGAAACTCCATAGTTTCTGCATGAATTGAATAAAATTTATTCATTTTGAATAAAAAAAGTATTAAGCTACATTAGGCGAAAAAATTAATACTCTTTGAAGTGCTTACCTCACTTTTCGAAATGCTTATGCAAAAAGAATCGTAGAACATGAATCTTTTTAATGAAGCTGTGACTGCTTAAAGTATCGATAATTTTTCATTTAAATTAATTGCAGTACAAAACTGACTCCAGGAACTTTAGCTTCTATATTTTTGGGAAAGCTGAAACATCTTACAAAACACTACATATTCTTTTTATTCTACATGCAAATGTTATTCACGTATATATGTGTTCAGTTTTGTTTGTTACTGTAATTCTATTATTTTTTAAAATTAAACGTTTCATCAGCTGGACTGAATAAAACAAAATAAGAATGCTTATTTTCTTTGGAAATCGTTGTAAATATTCTACATAGATTCCTTTGAAACGAAACTATATTTTCTCCGCTAATAGTTGTTGCAGTGCATCCATCCTCGCGTAAACTGGGATGCTCGTAAAAAACGAGGAAAAATGCACAACTAAAGTACAAAAATTGTGAACGTCTAGCTTCCATAGTGAGATAAATAAGGTTTGGCATTTACATACACAGTAGAACACGGTTATAAACTACGGTTTTAAAACTATGCAAAGCAAAAGGAAGTAGCTTATTGCGTGAACAACATCGAAATATGAAAATATAGTTTACGTCGTTTCATTGATTAATGATTAAAGATGAGCAACTGTTGACGAGGAAAAGAAAAAAGAAAGAACAAAGGTCAGATCGTTAATAAACAATCGGTGGCGTAGAATGGAGTCTCGGAATTCTAGAGAGACTCTAGTAACTAGAAAATTCAAGCTTCCAAGGAATGAGAAATTTGAGGTATAAAAGATAAGGGAAACGAGGAAAGAATTCTAGCCATAAAAGACACACCGCTGGGACAGTAAAAAGAAAATTCCAGAAATCAAAAGTAGTGAAGGAACACCAAGGTAGAATCCGCCTGGCAAAAGGCAACGCAACAGCACAGCAGAGGAAAGGATTCCAGCGATAAAAGAAGTAACAAATAAGCTACACGTACAACTACATTAGCGTGCAAGCATCGTAAAGAGCAAGAACAACGTCAGGCCACGAAACAATAAAGTTTCCCAATCTTTAAGACATCCTCGAACGCAGGCAAACGGAAATGCGCGTCACGAGGAAGAAAACGACAGCTTTGTTTGTTAGTGGAATTTAGAATTGAGCCAAAAAATAAATAAATAAATAAATAAAAAATTGCTGATGTAAAAATAACATGATACGCGGTACTACGCGAAACTGGCAACGTACAATCTACGACGTAAATCCTGCTGAATTGAAGTATAAAGTCTCCGACAGTTCGAACGTATAAACTTTGACGTCAGACCGATTTTACGAGTTCGCCGCGTCACGGAAACTATCACGATGTTATTACAAGTTCGTAAAAAAGTTGCGAACGCGCATTTGCGGGGTCGCGCGTTGTGAAAGTGTTACGCGTTTCCCGTGTAATTTAAGAAGCGAGCAAATCAATTCGCTGAGGAAGTTCAAATAGCTGCCAAGATGAAAAAGCATTGAGGAGCTTCGTTCGAAACAGATACCCTGCACGTCGGCAGTTTCCGTGAATGCAAGCCTTAAAAAACGATTCGGCCGACCTCCTTTATCTCCAGTCCTCGAAAATAATCGCGCGCCGGTACGCGGGGACCGAAAATGGAACGAAATGAGTATTATTACCCGGCTGCTGTCATTAAGCTGATGAGAAAAATCCCAATATCGTCTGGTCTGTGAAATGTACGAAGACGACAGCTTCGACAGACGAGCATTTTTAAACCGAGCGACCAACGCGATATCTTTTGTTTGCACTTCCCGCTAAGTTCGGGGAACTCGATTTCGGGAAAACGAAATTGAATCCGTTTCGCAGCTTCGTTGTTCGATAATCTGTTCGAAAAAAAAAAAAGAAAAAGGAAGAAAAAAAGAGCGATTCGAATCGTAATCCTTGGGAAGTCCCTCGTTTAGACGTGGTCGTACCAAGGCAAATAGGAATTCTATACCTTCGATTCGCCCTCTCTTTGCAACCTCCGTGTACCCATATTCGACTTTATCGGCCGTGTCGCGCAAGCGGTGGAGCACAGCTGGAAAAAGGTATTTTATAGGAGAACGGATTTCCCCATGGATGCGAATGGAATAGAAGATAGGAATTAAACTTCCGACTTTCACGGCTCCTTTTTTCTCGGATAATCCGAGGCTTCTTGTACGTCACGATACTTATTATCGCTGTGTCGTAAGCTGCGAATTAATTTCGTCGTGAATCCGTGACACGAATAGGAGGTAGGAGCATCGAATTGGAATAATTACATGATTAAAACCTCTTCCGTGATTAAAACCTCAAACCTCGAACAATGTAATTTGTTCGCCGCGAAAAAGGACACGCACAACGAAACAAGGCAGGGAGGAGAAACGAGAGGAAATTAAAATCTTGCTCTTGATGTTTGTCACTCGGTTGAAGCGGTCGCGTTTTGCCCGATTGTTCAATTTGCCGAGTAGTCGCCCGTTTGCGGCAAAAGGAGAGAGCGTCCCTCACGATTTTCCATTTACAGGCCCCGTTTTCAGAAGAATAGCGATCTTCAATCCAGAAGATGGAAAGCTGATAATGAATTGCCTAGGATGCACAATGACAAGGTGGCCGGACGGACATCCCCCCGCGGCTCGGAGGGTTTTCCGGTATGTGCCGTTCTATCTGCTTTTATCATCCGCTTATCCTCCGTGAACATTGAAATCTCATTATACCGCCGGTAGATGCGACCAATTACATACATTATCATTTATTAACGTTTATGTGCTTTGCCTTCTCGTTACTTTCGCCGGTCCAACATCTACCGCGGATTCGAATATATATTGACGCAACGTTAATTGAAAATTATATATACCACTGGACGATACGATAATCAAACTGTACGTCTCTTTTGCATATTTCATTACGAAGGTAATAATCAATAATAAATGAATTGCCGGAAGGTAATGGACACATTTTGAATCGTCGGCAAACGAGACCGATCGTCAAATGGCCCCTACCGTTCATAGTTCACGTTGTTCGCGCGATTTTCTAAAGTAACGAGAATTCATGCACGTTAAATTCTTTGTATCTGTAGACGAAATGCCTCGCAATGCCGTTCGTGGCACGCTTTATACAAGATATTTCGCGTGTTTGCTTATAAGAAGTGAAAATACTTCGTCCAACGATTCGGTTAAATGTCAGTTCGTGAGATATCGCGTTTGTGAATATGAAAGACAATTAAGTAGAGAAAATAGTTTGGTTTTATAGACGAGTAATTTTATTTGTTCAAAGCACGGTATTTCGCTAAAATGAATACTGCATCGTGAGGTATCTCGTGTCATAAACAACATCGCGAGATATTTTGTTGCAAAGGGGTTGAAAACGACTTCGTTTTAAAATTTAATCACACGAGCGATTCACATAAAACAGTTGTAAAAGTTCCTCCTGTTAAATGGATTCTTACAATGTGCAAGCGATGGAAATATATTTGTCGGGTTAGTAAACGTTCTACTCCTGAAAGACGCCAAGATTTAAAGGATTATAAAAACTACACTACGGATTACAAAACCGAGAAACTTAGAATTTTCGCGTTCGTGAAAATTCGCCGCAGTTCCCCATTTACGAGCATCATTACTATTCAAGAATAGTAAGAATACTAAATACTAAGAATACCAAATGGGTTATTTTTCTTACGACTAGGTTGAGAGTGGTGACTGTAGCACCGGCGGCATTCCTAACGGTTACTTGCCTCGCTAGCATTGGTGTCACTTTAGCGTTCGCTTTCTTGGCGTTCAATTTACATTTTCGCAAGCACAAGTAAGTCTTACCATGCCTCCGTTATACCGCATCGATCGCATATAATAGGATGCATAGCGTTTCATTTCTTACAACCGGCAGGAGCATAAAGCTTTCAAGTCCTAGACTGAACAATATGGCCGCTGTTGGCTGCGGTCTAGTCTACGGTGCGGTCATACTTTTGGGCTTGGATCACGCCACCCTGCCAGACAGCAACGATTACTATCCTACAGTCTGCACGGTGAGTATTAATTTTCCGTTTGCAAGCAGTCGTTAGTTTCATAAATACAATTGGATTAAGTCGTATACGTACATATACCTACATGTAGGGGAGAGCTTTTCATTTTTTGCTGTTTTCGTTTGAATCACAGTAGAACCTTGATTATCGAAACTTAATTGAATAGATCTCGAATTAATTGTAACAGAATTTTCGAATGATAAAACGACAGCTTTTAATAATACCAAGTCTGTTGCATACTCGTTGCTCTTTTCAATCTCTTAATAATTAATAATTAATAACGGTTTAAAATGACATTATACTGTGGTGCGCTTTAAATGTAAATATTATATTCAAATATTGTGGAAATATCTCATTTTAATAATTACCTTCGACGATTTTGATAGAAGGGAATAAACACTGTACGGACTGCGTACGCACGAAGTACGAAATGTACCATTCAGATAGAACATTCTGATGATGGAACGTTCGGATAATAGAGAGCTCGGACAATAGGTGTTCCGATAATCGAGATTCTATTGTAGTTACTTAATAAGAAATGTACTAAAATATACTTTGATTGTTCCACGTTATCTATTGCAAGTGAAACTTCGAGAAAGAGACGTACAAAATGAGTTATTACAGTTTATTTGTTGAAAACAAAATGTATCAATTTGTCTCGCTAAAAAATATTGAGAATTATTAACAATTATCTTTATTATTACTTAATATATATCATTTCGTGTATGATCACATTGGTTATAATATAATTTACCTACATAAATGAGAAAATTTAGTTGACACAGTGGGCAATAAAAATTAATTCCTTTGTAAATTTAAATAACAGTTAATATATGTATCTTACGTGTTTTACGTGAACCATTTTTAACATGATACGCTTTGAATCCTCTTTGCATTACCAAAAATACATACTTTATGAAAAATCGTTACATAAAATTTCATTTTCATTAAAAAACATTAGCAGAATTCCGTTTATATAGGCACTATTTATTTGGCCCATAATTTCAGTGGTTAAACTTACTGATTAAGTCCACTTATTTGATCCTGAACTTTTATGAATAAATCAGTAGACTCCTGCTACATAAATTATTTGTCTCAAATTAATACAAATGGAGTTGCGCTGTGATCTTGGATACATAATATATCGTCTCCAGATTAAGAAGTTAATACGAATATTTACTTTTTCTCTATAAAACTAAAAATGATTGAATAACGAGTACCAACGTCGATGTACACAGACATTCACTTTATTTGTTAAAATAGATCTCGCCCTGATTGAACGATGCACAGTGTACAGATAATTGATTGTATCAATTTACCTCTCCTCTATTATTTATACAATTTCCACGTATTTCATAATTTTTTATCAATTACGGTACGTCCTATCGTTTTCCAGGCAAGAGTGTACCTGTTGTCTGCTGGTTTTTCCTTGGCTTTCGGCTCGATGTTTACCAAGACCTATCGCGTCCATCGAATTTTCACAAGAAGCAGAAGTGGCGTTGTCAAGAACAAGGTACGATACGATCGAAAGCGTAGTTGACGTTTAATGTGGCCGATAGATGATTAGAAAAAGAAAAAAAAACGAACTTACAAATCGCAAGATTGCGTGAAATAAACCATCATGTACATGTGTGTAATTCTACTATTTGCAGCTACTTCAGGATACTCAGCTTATAAGTTTAATTTGCGTCCTCCTGCTAATAGACGGTCTCGTGGTGACCCTGTGGGTGACCTTCGACCCCATGCAACGTCATCTCCGGAACTTGACTCTGGAGATTAATCCACAGGATAGAGGCGTAGTCTACCAACCTCAGGTATCGAAATGAAATGTCGATGCGACGCTATTCAAAAAGAATTCTTATCCTCGCCTTTCTAGCAACCCTGGTCGACAGCCTCATTAAGATAGTGACAATTATCCCTTCAACGACAGATAATCAATTAATTTACATCGTTGCTTTTCGATACAGGTAGAGGTGTGCCGTTCTCAACACACGAACAGCTGGTTGGGCGCGCTCTACATTTACAAAGGCTTGTTGCTGATCGTCGGCGTGTACATGGCTTGGGAAACGAGGTAAAGAATATTGGATTAATCTGAAAATTTCGTGCGATAGATAGTAGAACATGATTTTATAATGTGAATAAAAGTTCATTAAAACAAATGCCCCGGGGGGGAGTCTGTGGAACTTCCAATTGGAAAGACGAAGTCGAAACGGAATTGGAGTTTAATGAGGGATGCCATTAGGGCGTTCATTAGCAAAGATGTTTCCTCTTTTTGCTGGAGTATTGTCATTGAACTATCGGCATGAAGCGTCGCCAAGACCAAGTCAAGGACGTAATAACGAAAAGTGCCGATTCGCAAAGTTGCAGCAGTTTTAATCGATAATTTCATTCCCTTATTTAGGATAAGACACCCTAATTTCGTCTCCTAGAAGATTGTTCAGCATTTATTCAAAATAAAATCTGAGAAAATTAACGCAATTAATTTGAAAGCTTACTAACGAAGCTCTGTAATGTTTTTACGGAAGCATAAAAAAGTATAAAGAAGAATAAAAAAATATGAAAAAGTTGTGCAAAAAAATATCGTCCTGGTGAAAAGAATGTTGGAAAAAAATTTAATAGTCGCCTTTCACACGTTTGAAAAAAAATGTTTCATTTGTGAAATTATAAAAATAATGGTTTCGATGCAAAGTCAAATCATGGATTTATGTGAAAATCGCGTAAATGTTTCTTTAGTTATGGTATGGACAAATGTACACAATCCGTGGCACCATTTGAAACAACACTAGCGTGTTTAATTGATTTTTGTTTTTAATTATGAAAGCATTTTTTAATGTAATTGTCTATTTTAATCGACAAATGGCAGAATGAGATCATCAATTCGAAATATAAAAAGGAATATATTTCAAAATATATCTTATTGTTAGACACTGAAATATCATTATTAAGAAATTATATAATGTAATTATTATTATCAAGAAATGACAGTGCACAACTCGTTAAGAAACAAAGCGTTACGAAACAATGAATTCACCTGAATTCACTTTTGCTGCCAGCTCATTAGTGGCGTTTCTGTTATAAATTTCAATTATCATTAATAAACTACAGAATACCAACAGAAAATTAACTTTCTGAGGGAACAAAATTTCAATCTTTTAACTTAAATTTATACACGTTTCCATTTTTTTCTTACATTTCTATCTTATAATTCCAGACATGTGAAAATCCCGGCTTTGAACGACTCGCAATACATCGGCATGAGCGTTTATTTCGTAGTGATCACTTCGGGGATCGTAGTGGTACTGGCGAATTTGATGTCCGACCGTGCAACCTTGGCCTTTGTTACGATTACCGCTCTGATCTTGGCTTCAACGACCGCGACGCTGGCGTTGCTGTTTCTCCCTCAGTTAACAAACATTTTGGCTGGCGAAAGAGCCGACCCCGTTGTGCAGAGTCTCGGCCTGAAGATTGAATGCAATACGAGGAGATTCGTGACCGATGATCGAACGTAAGTAAACTGCTGTTAATTATTATTTCGCAGACAAGAAAGAGGATATCGAAAGAAAACGGAACTCGAAAGAAAACAGCAGCAAAGGAAGAGGAATGGAGCACAATGGAACCGGATACGATAAAGGTCTTTCGTTTGGTAACCAATCTTTTGAACGATGATCTAGCTCGAAACGATATTCTTTTGTCCCTTCGCGTTATTCCTAATGGTACAAAGAAACGATTCAGGTCACAGATATCGTTCGTCATATTTTATTCAGTTACCGACTTTCACTGAATTTTCGTCCGAACGATCCCCACCGGGAAAAGTTTATTGAATTTCCCATTGAGAATTTATTTGATATCGAGTTAGGTGGAAGAGAACGAGATCGCGTTACGATCGACGCTTAAAACTCCCGATGACGCTGTTCTCTTTTAGAAAATGGTACGCGAATCGGTTACGTGTGCCACTCATGTGCCACGTTACGACACAGTGTGCAGCTAATTTTCTAACTAATTTAACCAAAATGGCATTTCATGGCGCGACAGCGAGCTTCAGTACCGCGTGGAAGTGCAGAACCGTGTGTACCGTCGTGAAATGGCGCAGCTGGAACTGGAATTGGCCAGATTGGAGAAACAATTGGCACAGGAACCGGTTGAACCATCGCACGCTTCGTCAAGCGCATCGATTCCACAACGCAATCCCAGCATCGGGGGTGGTCTACCTTTGTTATTGCTCAGCGTCCTCCCACCGGTCATCCCTAGGGCTAGCTGGCCGTCCGCTGATTCGTCTGGTGAGTGAGATTCTTTGTCACACGATGCAGAATTCGTTGTGCAAATAAATTTCCGTGACGAACATACGATCGAGGACCGTTTCACGATTCGTTGCCTCTCACCAAATGAAATCCTTCCTTGACTTGAATTTGCACGATGAATAAACTGTTTCACCAAGGAGAGAAAGAAGGAACGATAACGTAATTAATGTTCTTCTCGCTTCTTCGTCATCCTTCCATCATTCAGATGTTCGAGAAAGGTGACAGAATTCCGTTTATTGCACGCAGTTAAACTTTGAACGATTCTGACGTTTATACGTGCTTGTATCGATATTCGAAGAAATTGTTGAAATTGTTGAAACGATATATAGGGTGCTAGAGTAGGGAAATCAAACGTTTCAAGAAAACGTTTCGATTTGTTTTGCGAAATAACGAAACTTCCCCCTCCCCCAACCTGGTGATTTGTCCAATGTTTAAAGACGCTTGTTACTTGTTTTCGGACGAGATTGCATGAGAACTGCACTGTTGAATAATGTTTCTCTCGCGTTTGCCAGTAGCGTACAATGTTCATTATACTGCGCGTGTTGTTTCGAGTAAGAGTCCAGCAGTAATAGCAATCTCTCTTGCTATTAAATAAAACAATTTATCGTTAGCTGCTGTTTAATATTACACACACGAAACAGTTAACACTGTCTGATTGTCAGCCTGTCAGTGCATTGGTCTGTGTTATTAGGTTGCAAGAGCTTGAGAACATAGTTCATACACTTCTGACATATTAATTGCCATTCGAGACACCAAGCTGCATTTATATTTCCCCGAGCTCTGGAGTCCCAAACCTCATGACAAGTTCGGACAAGTCCCTGACAGGAGTATAGTACGTGCACATACCTTTCTCTCTCTCTTTCTGCACGCTAAACTGCACGTTTCACCCAATGTTTGCAATTATTATGAGTGACATTCAGCTAAATAGAATCGATAGACAAACTCAACGGTCAACTAATCAGATTTCTAAAACAGAATTCGGAAATTCGCAAATATGGATTCCCAAATGGAGTTTGTCGATCGAACGTTACCTTTTGGTTATTCGAGCGGATGCATTAAAAGACAATCACACGCGTGTAAATACGAGGATCTTACTTGGAACGTTGTGCTCGGGTGAAAAATGCAAGTGGTTCTCCTCCTTCCTCTTCTACGATATCTCACAATTAGTACATGCTTCCGCTTTTGTGCTGCGTGCTTCAGTTCGCCTTATGGCTCGAATGTCAGTGATTATTAGTATATCCACTGATCACGAGTGCAACGCTGACTGACGATTGTATTTCTTTTTCTTTTTCTCTTTTTTCTTTTAAATTAGGAATACGCCGCGGTACTGTAGCGTTTAGCAGTCAACCAGACTTGGAACCGGACGGTACGAGAAGAAGTCTCGCAGACATTTACAAACTTCATCGGCGAAGAGAGACAGAAGGACCAAATCGTTTGGGCGTTTTTCAGCGACTCTTCAGTCTTTTTGGCAGTCGTCCAACCAGCAGGAAAACTTCTACCGCATCGTTTACGGGTAAACAATATATAAACAATTCTTCTAAACTAATAATGAAATGTCGTGCGACATGCGAATTTGAAACGATTGACCGTATTAAAATTTCATAGGAGTAGCATCGGCACTACGGCTTCATATGGGCTACATCGCTGGTTTGGTACCAGGCACAAAGGCAGCATCTACCTGTCAAGTTAATGCCCAAGGCAGTCGTTCGCCTCATCCTCGATGTGGCTCAGGACCAATAATTAGTATTACTAGCGAAGAAGATCGCAGATTAAGCTTGGGGCTACGTCGTAAAGAGTACAGCGAGCCCAGAGTCAATTTCAGCCTACCACCCAGTAAGTACGCCCAAACCATTCATTTTTCCTGAATTATTTCACAATCGAGTATATGCTTTCGCTTCAAACACGTGTTTATTTAAAGGTATTAGCAAATCGTAACGAAATACATGTGAGTTTCCTGTAACGCACGGATTTCGAACCGCTCTTTTTGTAGAAGCGAGCACCAGCCAAACATCGTCACGGGAAAAAATTCGGGGATCTCCGCGGTTTCCTCATCGGATAGTGCCGACAAACAGCTTGAACACGATCGCGCCAGGATCCTCGATCTCAAGATCCCATCGATGGCATTCCATGGAAGACGCGAGAAAAAGCAAAGTCTCTCAATTCCCTCGCGGCTCGTCGTGTAGCCCTAGCAGCGACGTATGGGCCACTCGTGAATTTGGAATCCCATTAAGCGAATTGGGAAACAGTGCTCGAGGCAAAAGAACATCGGAATCATTGGCCCTAACCGTTATGGCGGAGTCGAGTGTAAATCCTGACGACGCAAAGCTTGGCAACAATTTGAAAAAACTGTTCGAAGAGAGCGATACGCAAGGCAACGTTAGTCCTGCCGACTCGGAGCTGAAAATCACTCGATCTATTTCCTCCTCATCCTCGTCGCCGACGAACACTAGGACATCGAGTGCTACAAATGGCGTGTCATCTTCTAGAAAAGAATCCAGTTCCAAATCTGCCCAATTAGATGCGAGTACAAACTTTGTTCAGAAGTTAGAGTGTTCTCGACCCTCGAGCCCCACAATTCGCGCGACCAATCTAGATACCACTTCAGAGACGGATAATTATGCGAATGCAACGTGCGAAGATGGAAAATCAACTGCCGCGTAGATTAAAATATGTGGAGAAAACGACTTCCTGTTACGGTATTCTGCTTTCCCGTACTAGTTGACTCCTGTCACATTGAGAGAAAAAGATTGTTATTGAAGATGAAGAGCAAAGATAAATTTTCGATGAATACGATGCTTGAGAATATTCAATTGTTTCTTCCTTTTTGTTTGTTTTTTTTTTTTTTTTGTTCGTCTTTAATTATATATGTTTCGTTCTTCGATTAAAAAATAAAGCTCTATAAAAATGCAATCACTTGTATACGTGACAATTTTCAGTACTCGTGTCCATGAAAGATCAAGCTCAAATCGATTGCACAAAAATTTTACGCGAGGGTCAAGAACCAATCACCGTTTAGATTTATCATGTGTGTTCCTTAGTAATTGTGCCAAAGATAAAACTATGGGGCCCGTAAAAGTATACAGCTGATCGACTTTGTGGATTATCATTTTATGGAGGGACCAAAGTATAATAGTAATCTTTCCTTCATTGTTTCGAAATTGTTTCTAATCGATGTCCAAATGTTGAAAGTTCATAACGTTTATCAATACGTTCAATCGTAAATATAATCAATTCTAATCATATCTTCAGTGCTTTGGTACTCTTATGTAAAACTAGACAATTCAAATTTCGTGGAGTCGTAGAAGGCATGCTGAAAGTACTCTTACAGGTTCAACATCAAAGTGTTCAGAACCCAACCCTTCCTTAAGTACCTGCACTCGATGTAACACAAAAATATCTTCGAATACAGAATCATACAAATAAAAATATCGGTTTCTTCTGTAAATCTTCAAGTGTGATGTACTGATATTTTAACACTAACGCGCGTAAAAAAAGTATAAATAAATATATATAGGAAAACAAATGGAAATATTCCCCACGTTTCGTACCTCGAATATCTCGATGTGTCAATCATTGAATTACTAACTTAATACTAAGCAATAATCTTCAATAATTGTCGGTGCAATTAAAAATGGTGTAATAAAGATATATATATATATATTCTACCTATTTATTGCAGATGATATTATTTCCATTCTATCAAAGATAACTAGTAATCTCTTCTGAAAGTAAATCAGAATATTTTATTTTTAACTATTTTTAAATGTAACGATGCATATGAATTAGTAGAGTACAAAAAGTTATATATATTTTTTAAAACAGAGTAATTATTTACATTATGTCATAAATGTAACTGCGAGATTTCATACATACGAAGGATGTGATAGATATAGCTATACATAGAGAGAAGTTAGGCTGCAAGATTCGTATAACAAAAAAAGTTTTCGCAGTGTATGCAATAAAATAACTCAATTCATTACGCATTAAAAAAAGAAATTTTGAAAAAATAAATTCTACAAGTAATACTTGCCTACAAATATTTTCACATATTTACATTTCAAGTTATTTAAGAAAATTAACACATTGCAAGCGATATATAGGGTGTTCGCGTTTTTTTTTTTATCCAGCATTTTTCTCAGAAACGGTAAACAAAAGAAAATAATGAAAAAAGACAAAATGGTTTACTATGACCCAGCATATATAACAATTTTTTATATTTACAATATTTTTCACGAAATTAAGATGACCTTTAATTTTTTATATAGAATACTATTTTTGTTTGTTTGTCATATGAAAGTGGCTGTCAAGACGAATTCAAATATATGGTAAAAGAAATTCTTTAAAATTCTGAAAGGTCAGAAATGAAAGAAATAATTAAGATTCATGACGAATTAAGATTTATAACGAATAGGGCACAAATAGGAGTAAAGTACACATATGAATGTAAACGCGAACACCCGGTGTGTATACAATATACTGCTATCATCTAACAGAACTATGCAATTTATAATAAAAGACTTTAAAACACACTTATTCCATGAATGTTATTCACAAATGAAAAATTTGTAACGAATTGCAATGTGTTATGTTGAGCTTAATATTAATTAAAGTCCATTCGAGATAAAGTATTGGATCACGTTTCTTTCAATACTATAAAATAACTAATGACTTTTGCCAGTTTTTTTCTGTAAAAAGAGGAAACGTTTTTTTATCACTTAAATAAAACATTAAAATCACAGATTTGCAATCGTGTTTAAACTTCTAAATATATATTAAATATGTACTACTTTCCGATCGACCTTATCTTCAACAATCGCCTCCATTAACTACATATAGTTGCCTGAAATAAGAAACAATTGAGATTAATGTATGCACAATGAAAACGTGAAGTTCTTTGTGAACTTACACTGATTTTTTCCAATATAGTTTCTGCAGGTTTGTCCTTTCGAATATTTTCTTTTGGACTTGCTTTAACTGATATCGATTTTTCTTCCTCCATTTCACTTTTTTTCTCTGGACTTTTCAGAGCGTTTTGCGCTTCTATCCTTTTGCGATTTAGGAACGCCATTCCATGGACTCGAAGATGTTTATCCACTGCTGCCTTATCTTCAAAAACAGCCATACAAACGTGACATTGATTTGCTTCGATTGATTTTCCTTCGACTTCAAGATTATCAACATTATCAGGGGCATAAGATGTATTTTGCATCATGTAAGTGATGGGATCCTCTATCCCATGAAATGCTTTCAGATGCATTTGTAGACTAGGTGCTACCACAAAGTTGTCTCCACATTCAAGACACACTAAGTATCGACCTTTGATTCTATGATTAGATGCGATATGGTCTCTCAAAGTTGACATATTCGAGCATCGTTGATCACACTTTTTACACCTAAAATTACCCTCACTGTCTTCAGCTGTTTCTTGTGTTACGCATAATCCAACTCCTGTAAAATTTCCGTTTTTTCCATCGTTATTATATTTTTTTGGATTCCATCGGCGTCTTTTTTTTGAACTCGACATAGTACTTTCAGATTTGCGTTTTTTCTTGTCTAATAATTCCTTATAACCACCGTTTATAAATTCTGATGATATCCGTAACAAGCTTACAGTAATCGTTGATAGCTTGCAATCCTGCGAGTGTTTACTTTGAAAGTGACTATTTGTGACTGATTTGGATGTATTTATTAATTCTCGACACAAAGGGCACGTAAAGTTAAGGATCTCATTTGAATTAGCCGAAGAGATTAGAGCAACTCGTTGAAACAAGTCACGATTAATATTTTGATCATGTGAAAATATTGACGTCTTTTTCTTTTTCGTTGTCTGCCCAACTTTCTTAGGTCGACTCGTTTCCAACACATGCTGAGGAATTCTAGCAAGCGGTGGAGGTTTCGAAATTGATTCATGTTTTATATCTTCCAGCTGCTCTCGAGTATTTGCTTGATTTGTTTGTTCAACTAATTGAACTTCTTTTTTTTCACATATTTCATTCTGCAAAGTATCACCTACATCTTGTCCGTTTTTCGTTCTCAGAAAATGATCTTGTTGCAGCAATTCAATATTCAGTGGATCTGAAATCGGTTTGATCGCTTCGGTAGCCCATGTATAATTGATGACATCTTCAAGTTCAGTTTTGATCTCTTGATCGTTGCGAGTTTTATCTCCTTTAATTTCTTCGCTTGTTCTCCTACTTACAAATTTCGAAGTTGTTTCAGTCTTCTCGCATTCAGCTATCGATCTAACGTCAAGTATCTTTGGTACACTCAACTCTGAATTAGGATTAACAATTTTAGAACAATGTGGAGTATCATAGTTTATTAAGTGATCATCCGTTCCCTGAGTTCCACGTTCAAATATCTCAGACGTAATAGTTCTAGCATTTATAATCTTAGGCATAACAGTTCCATCTTTGCAAGATCCATCGTGTGCATTTGTGAATTTATTTTGTTGTAAATTATTTTTTAATAAACTTGCTGCGGTTTCCACTTGAAAAACATTCCACAATGCCTCAGAACTTATAAGTTCCTTCAGACGTGATTCATGTCCACTTTGCAAATGAGACATAATTCGTTTAGCCTCTACATGAATAAACGTACAAAAAGGGCATTTAAACCATATTAATCTTTGAACAACTATATGTTTCTCCATATGTAACATGTAGTCTTCGTAACGTACAATACATCGTCCAAGTTTGCATAATACAAGCCGTATAGGATGATGATTATTCGCATCTGAATGTTTATTTTTATGATGTTTTCTATACTCAGAATATGATGGTAAAAGAAGATAACATTTATCACAAACTATCTTATTATGGCTGTGCATAATAGCAAAATGTCTAGCAATAGATTCCATATCTTGAAAACCATCTATTTCGCAAATTTTGCAACCGAGAACGCGTCTTTTTAGCGTATGAAAACAGGCGGTCCATGTATGGACCTCTAACGATTTGTATGTTGAAAATTTACGATAACAATCAGGACATAAATACGGTTTCTTTTTATCATGAAATGTTTGATGAGCTACGAAACGCGTCGAATTACCTTGGTACGTGTTACATTTGTGACACACGTGTCTATAACAAGAACAATAAACATCATTTCTCGCAAGTTTTGAAAATCCTGGAATATAATGCTTAGGTTTCATAATTTTGTTACATGCCTTACAAATAGGTTTTTTATCCACTTGCTGATATTCTACTTCCCATTCATTTAACGATGCATCCTTCTCCTCAATGTCATCAGATTTTTCAATACATTTGTCAATACAATGTTTCAGCACAGTTTGTAAAATATGAACCGCTTTTAAATTTTCTTTGATTACATTATCAGTTACGAAACTCATCACTCTCGATATTTCCTCAGCAATCTCCTGTAAATGGTCGTGCCGTTTCTTCAATTCAGAATAAGGAAAATGAAAAAATTCATTTAGCATTTCTTCTTTGCATTTCGTTATCATCGTAGATGTGTCGACAATAGTATAAATTGGCTTTTGGTTAAGAAATTTTACATCCAGATACAAATTTTGGTCTTCTCCTTTGTGAAATGATAAACTTTCAAACGTTTTTTTCGTATTTTGTACACCAATATCTTTATGTTCAATATGAGATACATCAACTTTCTGAGAACTCTTTACTAACAAAGGTTGTTTAGACTGAATATCGCAGCTGGAGCTATTTGATAATTCTGACGGAGATGGCGAAGGCGTTAAAGGAGAAACATCATTATGAAATGAATTTGTTCTCTCCTGATTCGATGCATTTTCTATTTCAGTGGAATCTAAAGGTATCAATGGTGGAATATTGTAGAATAATGATGGAACATTAGTAGAGTTTGATTCTTGAACATCTTTTACTGGTACCACAGCATTAGCTGTGTTTTTTAAATTTTTAGTAAAACCTGAAGATTGTTTAATAATATATTTCTGCCCGTTTTGATATATAACTTTATTTGAAAAAGTCTTAGGCTCGGTTTGATTTTTCGAAATATTTCCATCACATTCTTTATCAATTTGTGAAAGTTCTACGCTTTCTTCATTTATTTTCGTTCCTGATAATTTTGCATTATCAACAGGTACTAAATGAATTACTCCTTCTGAAGATGACTCTCTGTTTTTATGGGCAGATGTATCATCATTTTGTTCCACAAAAACAATCTTTTTGTTATTAATCATGTGAGATGGTAGCTGATTAATAATTGCATTAATATCAATATGTTTCGTGCTTTGAAATGTAACGACTTTTTGACCAGAATTAACAGTTAATGTATGTATATTCTGTTTAAATTTATCTAACTTATTTTTACATGCATCTATTTTTGTTACGCAAGATTGTACCTTAGACACTGATTCTGCTTTTATTAAATTATTGAAGAGAGTTTTATTTTCTTTTTTATCAAACTCTTGTTTATTGCTTTCTGTAACTGTCTTGTTTGATACATTATTATTAGATTTATGTAACAAGCTCTTCCATAATCTTTTATTGGTAGAATGTTTAGATGAGTTTTTGATATCATGTTTTGGTGTTATCACTGTATTGCCATATGACATAATCATATTGGGTGAAACGGAGTTTAAATGTCTTATTTTATTTCGTTTAGACTTATTAATTACATTCGAATGTTCTTGAGTAGTGGATACATCTTGTTCTGATTTTGTACTGTCTCCTTTTCTTTCTTTATTGTTTAATAGAAATTCAGGTTCAAAGGATTTTGATAATCCACAATCCACAAAAGTAATATCATTTACTGTACAAGGACTCTCTTCATTTTCAATTACACTTTCATCAGAGATGGAAATTATATCTGTAGAAGATGAACTTGCTTTTTTATCAACATTTTCTACAGAATCAAAAATTACAGTGTCAGAATAGGTCTTGTCATTGTTAGACATAGGATGAGCACGATTCAAAATAGAAATTTCCTCATCTATTGGTATTTCTAATTGTTTAAAATGAAGTCTGCCTTTATAACCTTTAAGAATGAGAGTAACTGGATTATTATCTTTTATATCTTTTGTCAATTGCCACCAATTGTTACTAATAGCTTTATCTTTCAACCAATCCATTATATGAATTTTTATTATAAATGTATGCTCCATTAGTGCTTCACAAATAACATCTATCTCAGGACTCCAATCAATTATATTTGTTGGTAGAGGCATTAACATTAAATCACCCATGTTTACCAAATTTACATTATGAGCTTTCAAATGTGAAAAAAATTGACATTGATTATAAAAGATTCTTATTGCTCCAAGTTTTTTATTGTTACGTAAACCTCTACTTCGTAAATATAAGCGTTTTTCATGATCCACTTGTGCACATGTGGAACATAGGATATCTTCTGTAGATTTATGTTTACAGGTAGTTACAAAACAGTGCTGACACCAATATCCCAATATCCAACTTTTCCTTGCAATATGGTCATCCAAACTGCTTCGAAAATAGAAGCTAATAAAAAATAAAATTTTTTTATTAAATATGTTTCTATTAAAAAATAAAGCTATATTAAATATAATATACTTAATAATAGTAGTAATTATACAACTTAAAATATATTAGTGATGATTTTATATATGTGAAATTACCAGTCTTTACATTGTGGACACATATATAGAGTCTCATGTTCTGGAACTTGCTCTTTCAAAGATGGGGGTGGAACTATTGGTACATAAGGTTGTGTCTGTATAAAAACAGCATTTTTCACTGCTGTATAATATTTGACACCCCACATAGATTCAATTCTTCTATTTTTTCGTAATTTTGGCATGAGATTTAACTTATTATGTATCACAGTATTTATAGTATTCTAGACGTAGGATCCATAAGCACTGAATTGATAATTTTAAAGTTCATAAATGTGAATATGAACTATTGTAATTAAACGATTATTTATAACAGTGTGTTAAAAATATGTTAAATGCTATTATTTCTACTAATAAAGAGTATAATAATATACTAATTATTATATCTTTTTTATGACATATAATGAATATAATATAGCATTATAGACTTACAGAGCACTATACAGCATTTATTCACGATTTTGTCATCAAATTTTATCATTAATTACGTCTGTGATATATCTCTTTCATATCATACAATGTATTAACACAACTTAAGCTATTATTCATCAGTAAACCGCCATATTCAGCCATGATATGTTTTGCTGTTTGCAACTCGTCGTCGGTAAAACAGAACACAGTTTGTGGTTGCAGCAAACGATCAAAATGTAATATTAATGTAAATATATTATATTTATTTTAAATATTTATATTATTCAAAGTTCCAATTACTAGGAGATATTTTCAATATTTAGAATTACCATTATTGAAAAAGAATGCAATTGTAGACTTTTAGGCCATATTAAAAGATTGTATCCATGTAGTTACTTTTTAGTGATTCTGAAAATATATATAAAGATTATTAAATTTGTAAATATAGAGTAGCAAATATAATTTTACAATATATAAGAACAACATTTAACATCATCATCTTTATGAATTCTCTTTTAGACTAGATATGTATGTTCATTTATGTATGTATTTATGCTAAATAAAGTTTTTAAGTATTTTTAACTACACATTAAAAACAATTCTATTCTAAAATAATTATTACAAGAAATAATATATTGATTTTTATTACTAAATGTATTTTATATTTGAAACATAATATAGAACTTATATATTTTCACATACACAATAATAATAATTTGAAACTTATATATTTCCATATACACCATATTTGTTTGAATGAAATAATATAATTATTTATATAATAATATATATTATATAATAATATATAAATAATACTTTTTAATACAGTCTGATTACTTTCAACCCTTTGCGGTCAATGCTGATTTTGAATTTCAAATATTGCATCGTCTAGTATTGTTTACTTTGTGACATAATTATAAGCTTACTAATTCAATACATGGTTATGGATGGATAACTATATCAAATATAATGTTAAAGTTGAAAAACAAATTATTATCATAGGTTTTGCATATGAAAGAAGTTTCTCTTCTTTCACCAAATATTTTACAATTAGAACATGCAATGCTATTCTTGTATACATTGCGGATACAATATAATAATATGTAAATTTCCACCTAAGCGTTGTTCTTGATCTGTTGATGATTGTCCCTTTTTTTATTCCATACAGAAATCAGGAACAAGATTTATCTAAACTGTTTATAGCTTATTTTCTTATTATGTTACTGACAGCAAATGATTTATAAATGTATATGAAACATATGCATTGGTGATTGAAGTGATAATGACTTATTTCATTATTGTTAGTATCGAATTACATCAATGTATCCAAAATATAATTATAGCACTATGAGAAAAACTTAGAATAACTGCTATCACTGTCGAGCTACATTCAATGTCAGACCACAAAAGGTTAATATTTATAATTGTAGAGTATCAAATTTTTCTGTTTACCTATACCATTAATTATTATTATATTCGTTAAATAATAATATACAATAAATAATATATATTTAACTTCCAAAATATTTTGCACTTACATATTTGAGTATTTTGTTGATAATTTATCATTAATTGTGTTGAAATTATTTACAACACGATTGTAAGTCAAAAGAATTTCAAAAATGTGTATCTTTCTTCCAAGGTACATATTTTTTATTTGGATGTTTAACCGTGGATAATAGCCTACACAAGAGAGAGCACTTGTCATAATTTTTAGATTCCAGCATCGCACAAAAATTGAATAAAAATATATATATTTAATTTCTATAAGAATGTAATAAATTTACACAACTTTTAAATTGAAAAATGTAGTAAAATGTATATAATAATATATTTTAGTTATAATATTATTCGTAAATAATTTTATAATTATTTCATAATTCTGTTAAGTTATGCTGTTGGATAACATTAACTGAAAATAAATTAATTTACCCAACATTTGATATAATAATAATTTAGTGAATAGTTAGTCTACATTTAAGTTCTACCAACTTATCACTAACTACCTATACCACTATATATGTATCACATGCTTCTCCCTTTCCAAAGAGTGAATGAAAATCACTATTAAGAACTGCTATCACAAGAATAGGTTACAATACGTTACATAAACGGATAAAATGTCATTCCATCAATTTAGTAAATTTACCGGCCGTTTAAGACAGGCAACACAATTACAAGCTCTTTATCCATTGGTGAGTAATTAATTATAAAAATTAAAGTAAATTCGTAATAACGTGAATCAAACTCACATACTTCATACATCATCTCCCACAAAATTTTTAATCTTTTCTATTTTATTTCAATAAAGTACAATTTATTCTTTTATTGCTGTAATAATTATGAAAAAAATTATAAAATTTTATATTAAATTATTGTTGAATGATATTTTGTATAATATATGTAAAAGATAGGTAAGCAATGAAACTGTATATACTTACATAATATAACAATGTAATGTATATAAAATCTAGATACAAATCAATATTCAAAAATTTAAAACGCTACATAAAACACTACATATTTAAATTAAATGTATATCATTTTATTTTATTGATATTTTAATACTTATTGTATAATAAAAAAAATTAATATTTATATTATAGTCTCCAAGACCATTAGAAAAAATAGAAGCACCAAAACTGATGTTTGATAGTATTAAAACTACGGTAGCATCTACGTCATTGTCGAAACAGCATTACTCTACAATACCTTCAAAAATGAAGAAATTTCAACAAGATTGGCAGGTGAATATTTATGGATAATAAAATTAAATTAAAAAAATGAATATAACAAAAAATTTGCATTTTACAGGCAAACGATGCACCAACGTATCTTATTAGAGGTACATCAGATAAACTCATTTATTATTTTTGCATTGTATGTACTGTTATATCAACTGGTGTGAATTTATATTATACAAGCGAGCTTGTAAAGAAATTCAAATAAAAAACTAATATATATTATGTAGATATATTTAGAAATATTTATTATAAAATATACATTAGAATTTCATGAATTGTTTTGATTGTATTTCCAAAAACCTACTATTTAGAGAATAAAGGAAATATTATGTATGATAATTCATTTAAACTGTAGATGTATACAATAAAATAAATAAAAAATATCATATCTAGTTCATGTCTAATTATGTTACTAAAAATACCATATTTTAAGCATGCACCGTGTGGACCACCTCTAGGATAGATGCCGAAACTAATGTATATTGTCCTTATTTCACGTTGTTGCTCTCCTTGTCTACCGCGTATATATGTCTGTTCTTGTCGCACGCTGTTTTCTTTGTCTACCACGCGTATATATCGGTCCTTGTCGCACGCTAGTGCTCTTCTTGTCTAATGACGCTAGACAAGGAGAGCACTAGCGTGCGACAAGGACATCCTTCGATCTATTGAAAAAAAAATTCATACGCACGTTTTTCTAGGACAAAACACACATAAAAAGAAAGCGGGAAGCCTAATTTTAAGGAGGCATATAAAAAAATTCGCAAATTATTCCTCTTAATTAGGTTATTCTCATAATTAGTGCAAACTGTTACAAAATGGACATGGTGGCGTCATTGTAGCGGTATCTCAGTGGTACTAATTAATTATAAAAACACTTATTTCTGCAATTTACGGGTCAAATGGGGTATGAAAAGAAAGCTAAGGATTGAATTAGGGTAATGCAATCACAAAAGCTCAATTCATTTCGCTAAATTAGGTTTTTTTGCAAATGAAAATTTCTCTGTTTTATGAGGTAAGAAACACAGCGTCGCGTTGTGGCAGACCGGTGGAACTAAATGCTCTATAACCATATAAGGAGAGTAATTAATTTTAATTTTTCACGCTATTAATTTGCATTTCACGAGCACATATTTGAAAGATAATGTTATCAGTTACGTTCGCAAATAAATTTGAATCTAATATTCACTATAGTTTGCGCGAAATTATGCACTATTGGCACTACTACTAACGTAAACGAAATTGAAACATTCTTTATATACGTAAACTATACTTAAACAGAACATAAAACGCAAGCTTAGGGTCTCTAAAATCGAAGACGCAACCATAACAGTTCACAAATGATTCCTTTTAATTAATTTCTTCTCATAATTTGTGGAGACTGTCATCGGTAAATGTTTAGAGGTACTGGTGGTGCCATCTATTGATAACTTAGTGGTACTAAAAACGGAATTTTCTACTTTTATGTCTATGTACATATTTTGTCTATGCTCGAGCATAGAAGAAAAAAGTACAGTGGATTATAAATCTATATTTTTTTTTATTTATAATTAAATGCTGTCTGTGATATGTACTAAGATTTCAACCTATATAGTAAACAAAGAATTCCAAAGAAAGCTATTAAATATTGAAGAATAAAACTATAAATGCATTGAATTAACATTTTTTTACAATGGATGAAAAAATTGTTCCAACTGTAGTGTTTCATCCTATTATTTCTTCAATACAAAAAATTGCCCTTTATGAAACAAAATCTGTAAGATTTAAATCTTATAAATAATAAATTATTTTAAGTATTCTTATGGATACTTTAATTTAGATAATTTATATTACAGAGGTTTTATTTAATGGGATCAAATAATACTTTAACACGTTTTCGTGTATTAAAGATAGATCGTATGGAACCAAAAGAATTAGTTGTTATAGATGATAAAAGAGAATATACTCAAGATGAAATAAAGGATCTTGTAAATATGATAGATATGGGTAATCGTACACGTACTGGACAAAGAAATAATACTGGAGGAGTTGCCAGAATTGTTTCAGCTTTTGGAATTATTGGTAAGCAATATTAATTCATTTACTTATTTCTCGCATAAACAGTGCATGTGCTTAATAAAGTTCTCATATTTTATAATAATTATATATGACAAATAACTATGTACAAAGAATAAGAGTACAATTTATAATATTTTGCTCCTTATTAACATATAATTATAATATGTGAATGCATGCATATTACACATATAGCTTAAGCTTTTTAATTTTGCATGATTTATTTTTTGGTATGCATGTTTATTACATTGTAATAGATACAAAGTAACATGCATATATAATAATATTCGAATAAAACTATTGTTAAAACATTATATAAGACTTGGTTTCCATATACAATATATTTGCTTGCTAACAAAGGCAGCAACATTCATAAAGAATCCATATCTGACAATGGTGTATCAGAGGAATCTGAACACCAAGAATATCAGAAACCATTGCACAAACCAACTCAAACTAAATTCACCTGGAAAACAATGTGGCAGAGAGAAACTTTTCCTCGACTAGTACCAGCTTTTGGTCTTCTTGGTAAGGACCAATGTCTTCAATATTCAATGAAACATCATATATTTGAAATAAAATTATATTTAATAAAGAGAATATAATATTTGTTTATATGTAAATGGTATACAATTTATAATATTTAATTGTTAGTATATGTAATACGTATTATAATAAAATATTGTATAATGTAGCTTAAATGTGACAATAATCATTCTTTGTGACAATTTTGTAATAAACTATTAGATTTGAAATTTAATATTTAAAAATAAATTTGGACTCAATAAAATTTAATATTAAATCTTTTGTACTAATATAAATATATTATATATATATATATATATAGGATATTGCAACATACATATGTTTTTAGCATGGTATAACACAAAATTTGCATGCCATTTTATTTGTAATTAAGCATGACATGCACAATACATTAAATATGTGATAAATAAAATTTGAAATTATTTATATTTATATAAATAAGTAGCTAATAATTAAAAATTACTATGTTAGGCTTTGTACGTTTCTTGGAAGGATATTATATAATTCTGGTTACTAAACGACGTAAAGTGGCTGTAATTGGTCATCATACAATATATAAAATAGAAGATACTTCGATGATTTATATCCCAAATGATACTATTCGTGTTTTTCACCCTGACGAGCAAAGATATGTAAAGATGTTTCAAAGCATAGATCTTAGTAGTAACTTTTATTTTAGTTACTCTTATGATCTAACACATACTTTGCAAAATAACATGACTGCACCAATGCATATTAAACCTGATATTTTTAATACAAATAACAAGGATTCAAATCAAACAGAGAATAATGATATTGAGGATGCAGAGAATTTTTTTAATATGTGGGCCTCTAAAAAAAGTTATTGCAATAATAGGTTTGTCATAATAATAAACTAATAAATTTTTGAAAATTAAATACTCAATAAAACTTGATAACATTTTCAGTGGAATAGAAAAATATGTTGATTATGGTGTACGAAGTAATCCACATCGTCGATTTGTATGGAATTCGCATTTATTGAAACCAGTAGAAAAAGATTTACATCGTGACTGGATTTTATATGTTACACATGGTTTTATTGGTCAATCAAATGTTAGCATTTTTGGAAGATCTATGTATATAACTATCATAGCTAGAAGGAGCAATAAATATGCAGGTACCAGATTTTTAAAACGTGGAGCAAATTTTGACGTATGTATAATTAAATAATATTGTAATATTGTAATTATTAAAAAAACAATTAAAACGTATTATGCGTTGTCAGTTTATTATTAAAAAGACCATTTTATTATTTAAGGGAGATGTTGCAAATGAAGTAGAAACGGAACAGATTGTACATGATTCTGGAGTGAGTTCTTTAAGTAAGGGCCGTTTTAGTTCTTTTGTACAAATGCGTGGATCAGTTCCTGGACATTGGAGTCAGGATGTTAGTAAAATGGTTCCAAAACCTACCATCACTTGTGATTTGGCTGATCCTTATGTAGAAACAGCAGGTATGAAAGTTTAAAGTTATTATTGTGACATATAATATGATAAATATTTTATTAAAAAAAAGAAATAAAACTCAGGTGCGCATTTTAATCAGCTTTTGAGAAGATATGGTTCTCCAATTATAATTCTTAATCTTGTTAAAAAACGTGAAAAGAAGAAACATGAAAGTACATTAAGTGAGGAATTGTGCATGGCTGTTAAATATTTAAATCAATTTTTATCCCCAGAACATCACATTCAATATATAAGTTTTGACATGGCTCGAATGAACAAAAGGTACAATTATAATGATTATATATTTTAACATATACATAGAAGTATTGAAATATGAAAACATAAATCGTAATTATTATAATAACGTAAGAATAACATAATTATTTTCAGAAAAAAGTTCAATGTTATGGCACGATTGGCAAATATAGCACATAATGCAGTTTTGAAAACTGGGATTTTTCAATCACAAAATCCGTATTACAGTCAAAAAAATTTATTTTCTCCTCAATCTAATTACAATAAAAAGTCTCACAAAAATTCAAACATTTCCTCATTCAATACATCTGGCACTTACAATTGTACAAATATTTCAGCTGAATTCAATTTTAGTATTGATTCTAAATTTGCTAAAGAAAATAAACATAATGAATTACATTATATAGAAAATAAAGTAAAAGAATGCTTTGGTAAAAAGGGTACATTACAAACTGGTATTATTAGAACAAATTGCGTTGATTGTTTAGATCGTACGAATACAGCACAATTTGCAATAGGAAAATGTGCTTTGGGATTTCAATTATGTGCTTTAGGAGTATTAGAATCTCCTAAGTTAGAATTTGATTCTGATTGTGTTAGAATGTTAGAAGAATTATATGAAGATCATGGCGATACATTAGCATTACAATATGGTGGCTCTCAATTGGTGCATAGAATAAAAACCTATAGGTAAGGTTGCATAATATTTCATATATTTTCAATTGTGATAAGATTTTTTTTGTCATGATTCAGAAAAACTGCACCATGGACAAGTCAGGGCAATGATATTATGCAAACTCTTAGTAGATATTATAGTAACACATTTAGCGATCAAGAAAAACAACATACAATTAATTTATTTTTAGGTATATATATATATATATATATTGAATAATATTAGATATATAAAAGAATTAAATAAAATTCATATTTAAACATTTTTGACAGGTTTATTTATACCTGAAGAAGGGAAACCTCCAATTTGGGAGCTTCTAACAGATTATTATTTGCATCATAAACCTGCTTGTCACTATTCTCGCAGAATAAAACCTTTAACACAATGGTGGGATACTACTGTATTAAGGTGTCTTCCATATGCGTTAAATGAGGTAACAAAAACGTGTTCAGAAATAATACAAGTTCAGAATTCGACAGAAGAGATGATTGATGTTTATTACGATTATCATAGGTATTGAAATATTTTATGATTTGTATATAATATTGTGATTAATTTATACATTCTGATTTATTTTTTTATAGGCCATACGAATTGTCCTTACTTTCCGAAGTTTATGCTTATAAAATTAGTCATTCTGTTAGAGATTTTATGCCGCATTTTACAACTAGTTTCAGTCCATTTGCAGTACGAATACGACCAGGTAGAAGAAGAGAAGAAACTGGTAATAAAAATGTTAATATGAAGAATCCTTCAATGACTGGACAAAGTAGTACCAGTAGTACGACGTCAAGTGCAAGGTAACCATACATAGTAATTGAGTCAAATAGAATTATTTTATATTTATCATAATATTTAGTATGATTGTAATTTTATATATCATTCATAGCTCTAGCGATGATTCAAGTTCTGACGAATATGAAAATCATCAGCATACTAATGATTCTCAATTGGCAATGTCAAAAGAAAGCTCAGAATTCACATCTTTTGAATCGTTGTTTCCATCTATGAGAGAAGTGTATGGTACTCAACCTCAATACCCTAACAGAAATGACGTTATATTATACAAAAGGTAAAGATTTACTTCTATAAATGTTGGAAAATATTATTTTGTTATAAAATATTTTTTTAATAGATTTGCACTGATTGGGCGTAATGCAACATATCCTTCAGAATACACAAAATTACATCTAAAATTAACTCGACAGATGTCATTCCCTGAAGTGCCAACTATTGTAGTTCAAGTACCAACGGTAAAAAAATCCAGCATAAATATATACGAGCAATATGTTAAAAGAGCAAAGGTGAGTGTATATTATCAACAAGCATAAAGTGTTTTTAACATGTTAATATTATATGTTATTTAGGTAGGTGGTTCTGTACCAAGCTCTAATAATGTTAACTTATATGAAAATTATACAAAACAGCAACAATTACAAAGGAGACTAATACATTCAAATTAAATTTGTTTTTATGATAAAATTTATTTTATGTTTTTGTAAATATCCATAAATATATAATAAAATATTCAAAAAAATTTAGTTCTTGTGTGTTTTATTGAAACCATTTTTTAGGGATACATGTATTTGCAAAGTGAGTAAATATATAGTCTACTTTAGCTTCTTTTTTGGCCGAATATTGTTCGTGTGGCCACATTTCTTTTTACGACAATTGGTTGCACGCGGATGAAGACGGGCATAACACTTTCTACAGATCATTTTATCACAATTGTACTTTTGTGCAAGAATACGTAAAGTAGGTTCTATCACACCACCACGAAGCCGAAGAACAAGATGCAAGGTAGATTCTGTTCAAAACATAAAAATAACTATGTTACTACATATTGTGATATGTAATGAAATATGAGATATGTAAAATGTTGAAACATTTTTCATAAAGTTACACAATACCTTTCTGGATATTATAATCTGACAAGGTACGTCCATCTTCCAACTGTTTTCCAGCAAAAATAAGTCGTTGTTGATCAGGTGGAATTCCTTCTTTATCTTGGATTTTAGCTTTCACATTTTCAATAGTGTCTGATGCTTCTACTTCAAGGGTGATGGTTTTACCCGTCAAAGTTTTCACAAATATCTGCATTGTGGTGTATCTAAAAGAAATAAATATTATATTTTCAGTATAAAAGAAATAAAAGACTATATCTGATCAGAAATCGTAATCCAGGCACGTTATAACATTTACTTGGTAAAGTGGTTAAGTTTGATAACTAATTTTTTACGTTTCCAATTTCTTTGGTATCTATTATTTTTTTTTTACTATTAAATTTACTAAAATATGTAAAGGTGACTAGAAAATTTCATAACAGACATTTCGTTTATTAACGTGTATTCTAGCAACGTATCGTGTCGCAATTGTTTCTGAAACCCTTTTGTTTAATTGTTTTATTATACAATATTACTCGTTAGTAAATAATACTAATTCAATTTAAAACTAATTTGTATCATAAGAACATTTTACAGTGTACAAATTTTAAACAATATCGTACTCTTACCGAAAAGAAAAGCGTGCTTACCAAAAACAACCTAAAAGGATCTTACGATGGCACCACTGTAACTTCCGTTCATACGAGAGTCGATATTAGCCCTCTTGTGGTAAATAATCCTACTACTTCAAAGAAAAGTGTGTGCAAGAATATTTGCTGTTTCACGCAGTGTGTAATTATCGAAAATTTGTAGTATTATTTCAAATTTAAAAAAGAATTGTTTTTAATCTATCACGTGTATCGTTAATAAATATTGATAAATATAATGATTCATTTTCCACGTACCGTAGTAAATACGTTCAATCATAGACGAGGTATATGAATAGATCTCTCATACAATGTATTTTCTTGTTCTACGATTTCGGGATTTATACATCCAATATATAAATTCGTTCTTAAACAAGAATTTCTTATGAATTTTGTCCCAAACCAGGGTTTTTTAATTTTTTATTCCAAGTTATCATTTCGTACGAAATGATGCGATTGCAACGCCCTAACGGTGAAATACGGAATACTTCCTACGATTCTCGAATATATCGATATTTCTCATGATCGATTTTTAAACGAGAATCATGGCGGAAAAAAGCATTCCTCGTCTGTAAAGGAGAAAGTGTTATTCAGAAAAATCATCCAGAAAGAAGTATTTACCAGAAGTTCAGGTAAAAATTTATCAATAGTTGTTAGATTTATGTTTGTGTTTTGTATTTGTAAAATAAAAGGTGCATTTTTGGCTTGAACTCAAGGTATGATTTAACCAAATAATTATTACATATAATTTTCAACAATTGACAAAATAATAGCATATGAACGTTTACACAGAATATATTATGCTGAAAGTTAGTTATAATTTTGTACCAAAATTTTATTTTAATTCTATATAAATAATAATAAATATTAATTTTACTATATTATATAATAAAATTTCTCATGTCCTAGTTTAAAGTATTGACAATTTTTCATCAGAACTATTTTCGTTTTTTTTTTTAAATGTTTCATCAATTTTATGTATTTGATTTAGACCAGAGCTTTTTTTATTTTTTATTCCAAGTCGTCATTACGTGCAAAATGAGCGATTACAGCGCCCCAACGGCGAAATACGTAACGTACTTCCTACGATTCTCGAACATATCGATATTTCTCATGATCGAGTTTTAAATGAGAATCATGGTGGAAGAAAGCATTCCTCGTCTGTAAAGGAGACAGTGTTGTTCAGAAAAATCATCCAGAAAGAAGTATCTTCCAGAAGTTCTCAGGTAAAAATTTGTCAATAGTTGTTAGATTTATGTTTGTGTTTTGTATTTTTAAAATAAAAGGTACAGTTTTGGCTCGAATTCAAGGTATGATTTAACCAAATAATTATTACATATAATTTTCAACAATTAACGAAATAATAGCATATAAACGTTTACACAGAATACTATACTAAAAGTTAGTTATAATTTTATACCAAAATTTAATTTTAATTCTAAGAAGTACTAATATTGTAATCTTGTAAGTGAATAACTCATTGTTACATATATATATATATATATTAAAATTAAGTTTTGGTACAAAATTTAATACAGTAAAATTGTTATTTTAACTATTAAACATACATTCTTAATATTTATAACTTAATATTCTTAATTATTGTAACTTAATATCTTAATTATTGTAACAATAATCTTGTAACTTAATATTCTTAATTATTGTTGAATTTAATGTAAGAATTGTTAAAAATTACGCAATATGAAATTAAAGAATCATCAAGTAAGTAAGAAACGTTATAATGAAAGTGTGTGTATAAAGACATATAATAAAATATATGTACATATATACATTATTTTATTATAACATTATTTATTTTAACATTTTCTACTTATTTGTTTTTTCTACTTATTTATTCTTTAATTTCATATTGCGTAATTCTTAATAATTCTTATATTAAATTTAACAATAATTTATTAAGAATGTACGTATTTAATAGTTAAAATAATAATTTTACTGTATTTAATAGCTAAAATAATAATTTTACTGCATAATATAATAGAAGTTTTCATTTCTCAAACAAAACAAGGCGTACAAGGCTTTGAAACTCGAAATCCGCGTTCAAAACAAAATAAACATAACGCTTACGTATAATCTGTATAAGACTCTTAATGTTGCATTTGTTTATTCGCGTGACTCCCTTTCGACTTTTTGTTATCTCTTTGTCGACACAAGTCGAGACAAGTCATTCAGCTACCGAATTTTGAGACAGTAACACGTGTTACATCGCATTAGGTTTGTCTTTTTCTAATCTATTGATCGCGTCGCTTCGACACTCTTTTACTTCCATTTATACCTCATGAATAGTATCATTTAATTTACACGCGTATATTTGATGATTCATTAAGCATTAAGGTAACGAAATCGAGTAAGATTTTGAACCTTTCTTGCTGATTTTTCTTCAACCATCGATTTCACTCTAACAGTTACTAATACATTGTCTCGTACTCTTTTTTAATAGAATTTGAAGTTGATTATCGTTTCACTTTTACATATTTGTCTCCATTTGACATATTTGTTGTAACTTTTTGTTTCTTTTTGTGCAGGTTATTCCTTGGTTGCAAAGATAGCATAGAATGCATATACGCCACAATCATTAATGGACAATCTGATGAACTTTCATGGAAAGTTGGTAACATTTTATTTATTCCAGATAACATTTGCTATATAATTTCTATATATTTGAAGTACAATTCACAATATGTAATTTCTTAATTATATGGGATAGCAAAAGGATGAAAATGGAAAAGATTAAATCAATTAATATTTTATTTTTCGAGTATAGAGATTGTAATAGCGTAATGGTTATATGCTTTCAAATGGATATATATTCTTGTATTAGATTATTATATTCAAAATTTTCGTACTTTACTATATTGTACTGTGCTATAATATATTTTTTCCGAATGCTGACACGCAATTAAATGATTCAGAGCAAGATTTTGCACATGTATGAGTTTTTAAATATATTTAGCCATGAAATTTTGATTTGTGCAAACATTTTCGAATATTTATAACGACGTTATATATTACTAATGTACATATTTCACTTTAATAATGGACATTCAAAATACAATTTCTACAAATATTGAGAAATATTTTATAATTTCCAACTAATATCTCTAATGCATACTCAAGTTTATAATCATTTTCTAAAAAAATAGCAATATTTTCTAAATGAACGTACTCTATTTTCAGAAAATTTTTGTAACCGCGCGCAATGCGGTCGGTAGAATCAGTGTTTGTTGCGCAATGTTTTAATATTTTTTTGAGCAAAATGGCTCTCATTAAATTAAATTAGATTATTAATTCATTTAAATTATAATTCGCGAAGTTAGAGTCAGTGAGTCCGCCGATTGTTATTTAAACGCGCGCGTTGATAGTCTTTTATTTTTCTTTTTTTATATTTTATTTTTTATTCAACATTCGGTTTCGATTAGTGTCAGTGCTCAAGAGGATAAGGCCTCTCCAGGAGATCAAGATCGTAAGTAATTTCATATATTATATTTCAATTTACTTATTCTTCAAATTTAACAACAAAGTATAATGTTTGACATTTTGTTATAGACGCTTCACAATATCAACTTTTTGATATATTTTGGGGAAAATCTAACGGTGGCTCCAGAGAATGTAAGAATCTGTCATTATCCCTTAAGAACTTAAAATTCTAATATTTTATGTTAAATATAAACTCTAATATTTTATGTTTTGTTACAGATTCTCTACGATCTTCAATTCCCCTTATCCTCTAAGAATCTTACGATGCTTCAAAAGTTAAGAATGTAAATACTTTAGCACACTGTACTTGAATTAATTCTATTTTCTATAGTTCTCTTTCCATTGAAGTCTAATGTAAAATTATAACTTCAAAATAAAAACATTTCAAATTATTAGAATCCCAATTTTTTATCATTATTAAAATTTGAATTTTCACAAATAACACTGTGTCTTTATGTTTTTT